AAAAAAAACGTTTCAGACCATCAAACCAAGGCCACACTAGAAAAAAAAACAGGCCGTAATGCTCGTCAAGCATGACGCCTTGATAGAAGACGGCAACGACGTAGGTATTTATTTATTTATTTTCCAAGGAAAGATTAAAACAAGCAGCTGATCACAAACGGCAAACATTACGTCTTCTATCGTGACGTCAAGCGAGCATTACAGCCTGTTTTTTTCAGTATGGCCTTGATCAAACCTACAAAATTCAAAACATCTAGAACGTCTAGGAACAGTTACACCAAATTTCTAAAGGAGTGATTATAACAGGGGGGGTGGGATTAGTCACCATCTAACTTTTTATATTGACTCATGCTCATGACTAATTTACTTTATAATTATCAGATCTCTTTGAAGTGTGATTTAACAGAAATATGCTTTTCTGACACTTGGCTTTTTGCTTTCCTGATTCAGACATTGCCTCGTAAGTAAAGTTGTTACCCATGGTGCAACAAGGTAAAGAAACATAACATCATAGTGTCTCATTCATTGTAATAACTCACTGTATACATATGTACATTCCTTAGAATAAGTGACAAGTATCTGTAAAGATACCCACAGATCTTGCATTGTCAGAGGAGCTCACGTAATACAAATTAATAACTCGTAATACGTTTACAGAATTGAATCATCATAAATATTCCTATTGTATGGTTTTATAACAGATGTTTTCAAGTCGTCAGACTATCATCGTATAAAATGTAGGCACTAGCATAATTTGTTGCAAAATAAATAGTTTGTATGAGTTTTGAGAGTTTTAAACTTTAATTTAGATGATATTTTCAATATTTAACTGTCCATTCTGTTTACACAAAAATTTGAATTATTATGACTCGTTTCAAATAAGACTAAACAATATAGGTAAAGTTTGTTTGAACATACATTTTTAAGATTTGAACTCCTCCAACAACAGTTAATAAAAATTACCTAAATTTGCATGTGAAAACCCCACAAATCTTAAATTTCCACAACATATTGACCTTAAACCGTTTTCAACTCAAAGGCAATCAAATTTCTCACAAAACAGAAAATGAAAATGAAATTAAAAAATACACAGGCAGTGTAGGCTCAAAAGACCGTCTTATATACACAAAACACTAGATAATAATTTTGTCAAATTTCATAAAATTAAATCTGGCTCAACATTGAAAAACTGATTAAACGGATGTAACTGGTTATTAAAGATTTGAAGATTCGACAGAAACCTGGAGAGATTGATTAAAACATATACAGCTGGTAGCTGCGCAACAGATTGACATAGAGACAGAGGGGAGGGAACATAGAACTGTTTGAACCAACAACACACGGTCACAACTGAAAATCTACCACTTGTATACTGATCTTCAATGAAAATTGTGTTGTGGATAAACTAAATTTTAGAACTGTTCTGTTTCACTAATTGTTATTGGTTCAAACATATTCACATTTATGATAGAAAAATATCAACTAATCTTAGACAGTTGAATGTTTACAAACCTTCCATCTCCAGGAAGTTGATATCGACAGACAACTTATAGAAACAGCGACTACCCTAAATGAATCAACGACCCCGATCGTAGTTGTGGATTTTGTGAAGTTTGTACTAAAATAAAATATACTACAAATACGGAGTAACCTAATAAATATACTAATTAATTAGTCAACGTAACTTCATACAGACTTTAACAACATCATATAAACTTTACTTTTACATTAATTTAGAATTATTTAGAATTCTATGTGAATTAAATTCAAACTGTACAGTACTAGGTCCGGCCCACTCGACGGAAAAAATAAACTCTGTTCTCACCCCATCAAACGATACGAGATTGATACACTATATAACGAGTGTTTGCTTTCAAGTAGATTATAGCGCGATTTATACGAATCTGTAAAGCGCAAGAGCAGAAGGATCAAATTAAGAAAGTGCTTAGTAAAATTTTTGATAGGTGCTTTAAAGTACAAACTTCACCTCAATGTGCAGCAGTAAAAAATTAAAATAAAACTATTTCTACATTTGAGTTATTATTCTCGTTTGAAACGTGATTGTTAGAATGTGACGAGAAGAGAAAGTGGGAGGGGGAGATTGGTGTGGTGGCCTCGTTATTGCTTACATCGATGGCGAACTTTAAAACTCCCTTAGAATACGCTTAGTGTAAGATAAAAAAATACAAAACTCGGCTCCACACAAACTCAAAAGGAACCGACGGGTCACTAACCGCGACTATGTGACACGGAACAAATGTAAAGTCGCTCGGCAGAACCTAGATTTGGCACTCCTCTGAAACCCACAACAAATTAAGTCGTAACATCGTATAATCTGTCTACAAACAATAAACTACGATTAACGTCTTTTACGGTAAGTTTTTATTCCTTATTTATATATGTGAGCATTTCGTTTGTTAAATTTTAGAGTCTAAGTAAAAAAATTGTCCACTAGTCGGTAGGCTACACTGGTACGTAGTGTTAGTTAGGCCACACCGTAGACACTCAGGGGCTTGAGCACACCTACGCACACTCACCACTCACCACACACCACTCACTGTCAGCGTCTCCGTGGCACCACAACGTACAACTTATGTTAAAGCAACATTCTCATAGTGCACAATCCACTTGGCTAAATATCTATGTACAGTTAATTGACTGGTGATGGTAGCAGTGCTACATTGAAACGCTAATCTTCAATTATATTCAATACCCCTTTACGATTTTAATAGGGAAACTAAGTTGAACTATAAGAAATTTGGAAGCGCTCTTATTTTAACTGCTTTGGTAAAATATAGTAGCAAAAAAAAAAAAATTATCACACGACTTATACCATATTGTGTGTTTAATTTATTGTAAGAGCAGGCTAATAATATTCAACCTATACTCTAAAATTAAAAGTGAAACTGATAAATTTCAGCCAAAGTGGAGTTGCGTCTGAGAGCCCTGTATCGTCGTTATCATTATCATTACATACTTCACATGTAAGATTTACAATAGACTACAAATTATTTACCATTGGTACTTTATACATAGTTGACAAACAATGAACTATAAATTATAAAAGTTAAAACACAGCTTTGATATATATCCTTCATTTTTTATCAAAATAAAACAATACAATCTTTAAATCACAGCCTGAAAGGAATCATAACATGATAACTTGAGAAATAACACAAAAATAATCATGATCATTTCCTAATGTCCGTTTAAATATTTTAAACAACGAAATGTTAAAAGCTTAAGAATATAAATATGTAGATATCAAAGCTGCATTGACATAAAATTGTACATTCAACAATATTTATAGTAAAACTAAGTATTTATAAAGCGTTTGCACCAATTATAAAATTAAAAAATAAAATTACAAATGATAAAAATATTTAAATAATTCATAAGTTTACAGATATAAACAAAAATTAACAAAGATTGACCATAAACCACCACTGGATAATTATACTCAGATGACTACAAAGCCGTTCGTTAAGATCAGAACACATTAGTTAAAGGGTTTCAAACTGAATTACAGTATTAGCAATGAATAAAAAAATGTGTAATATTTTTTATCACACATATAATAATGTTTTTTCGCTCTAGCAATAATGTTTTGGGTAGCCCTGACAAGGAACAAGAAAGAATTTGATAAGGGGACGAGAGGTTTGAAGGGATTTCCCGCAAAAAGCGGGAATTTTAAAATTTAAATGAAAATAAAGTTTTAGTGTTTACTCTTTATTTACATAGAATTTATTTATTTATTTATAATTTTGAAATATTTACCAAAATTTTGGGTAAATTTTGGTAAATCCCTCTGGAGCCGCCCTTGCATAATTGCAACTGTCATCAATAAACATGTGAGATATTTTTTGAATAGAAAATTGTTCAATACATCTTGAATTATAAAACGAACAATATAACTTACTTAGTATAATGTTAGCAGTCAATTTACTAAATATTTATCTTAATTACTTTTAAACTGTGTTAATTTGATGACTGGCATTGATAATTTAATATAACGGCCATAAACGTTTCCTGAGTAATTATCAGCGAAGTAGTAATCATTAAAAAATATACAAATGTAGAGAAATGAAAACATATTACACTGATAGAAATCATTGAACCTCTCTAAACAATAAAAAACACATTTGTGACAAAAGATTACAAAATCCTAACTATATAATGTAACATAACAATACAACTACAAATGCTCACACTGGGGTGAGTAGAATTATTTACTTAGGTACAATGACTTATCCTCACATTGGCAAACCACCTTAGTAAGTCTCTGTAAACTTATGCCCTTGGGTCTGAAAACACATCGTAAGCCGCTCATGGACAACTAAGCAAGATCAGAGTGATGACAATTTGCTTAAATCAAGCTGGAGTAATTTGTTTAACTTACTTTCAATTAATTATACTGGTGAACAATAAAAATATTGCGTTAATATTTTTACACACAATAAGGAGTTTTTTACAAGAAAAATAGCAAAGTAATAAATATGTTTAGAATTTACTTATACATATTTTGGCACAAAGGTTTTTTAAATTTCTTTGGCCATGATCACAGGTTACATTTCTTAAAACATATCAACTGGATTTTAAATTATAACAGATATGTCAATAACAATAATTTTTAACATACTAGTAGTATATTTTGGATAATGTTATGTTATTTTACGTGAATTTTGATTTGATTGATAGTGTATAAAAAGATTAAAAGATAATTTAAAAAATGTCCACTATTATGTATATTTTTGGAAACTTGAAAAAATTTAATATGGCACTCAAAAGACTTCAAATGACTTTTGAAAATATTGGAATTGTAGTCTTAAACCTGTGAGAAAAAATCTACTATACTGTATAAACATTTTTACCTAGGCAGTAGTTATTTTTTTCAACCATTAACATTTTATTTCAGATTGAAAAAATCACCTTCAGTTGCAATGAGGCGTTTGAACCTACATTTAGATTTTTTCTCCAACACCAATACAAAAAAAAAAGTAATGGTAAAAACAATTCCACATAAACTGATAACTGTGAAACAATTCGAGCAAAATAATCTAAAACTACACACGATGACAACCCCGATCGGCAAGGGCAAAAGCTTACCCATAAATTCGAAATTCGGAAAATCCGCTTACTAGAGAGACAGGGTGGGGGGAGGTTCCCCTCGTATCAATGTTTGTACTCGGGGTAGCGAGTGGGGCGGATGAGCGCGGCGCCGCTGTCGAGCGTATCTTGCGACGAGTGGGCGACGGCGGGGGGCGGCCGCTCGGGGGAGCTGTCTCCGCTCGATGGAGGCGAAGGGACGTAAGCCTCCGGGTCGCCTCCGTCGCCACCGACCTCCTCCATACTAGCCGACCGGACTAGCCGTTGAGCTTGAATAAAGTCATCACTAGAAGACAAGGTAATGTATGTGGAGACGCACTACAGACACCAAAGAACCAGCACTCCACAACAAGTCATGGGGGATTTCAAGATTGTTTAGGGGGAAAGTACGAGGTAGAGGTTAAAAGATGACAGAATTATTTTCATCCAAATGAGATTGCCAGGCATAAATTTGTGATGCATTAATTTTGCCACACATAGGGATTAACATTAGTAGTGAGACAATAGCCCTTGACTATTGCGAGAACTAGAAATTCCACCTTGATGTTAACTTTGTCACCAGTTTTTAAATCAAAATGGACGTATTGTAGTTGATTGATGATTAATATTACTTACTTCTGTTGAATGTGCAACAGAATCCAGTACTTTCTATACTTATTTTTATATAACTTAAGAAAAGTTACTTTTTAAAACTTTTTAGCTTTTTAGCCAAGTTGAACTGAGACAACTATTTATTGTAAGCTATAGCATTCTTTTATTCTTTTTTTGTCATGTCGTTGTATTCTGACAACAAATTATAAACAATAAGTAAGCATTACATTTTCTAATTTTATTCTATAGTAACTTTCTGAAATTTAAATTTGACTCTTCTTTGTTGCCATGTCTCTGTATGCTTAAGCTAAACACAAAAATGGAGTTACAAGATTGTATTTGTGTATAGGCCTATTAGTGGCACAACATGACTGTTGAAGCAAAGTTAGGCAATTTGTGTGTGCTTAACACGTTCGCTGCTACGGACGTTCCGGAACGTCAGCCGGGCCACGGCGCCAGGAGCTAAGAACGTTCCAGAACGTCACCGTTCATTGTTGTTTAACGTTGCTATGGATAAGCCAGCACGTCACAAGCGTTCTATATTTCTTTGCAGCTCGTGGGGACGTACTTTTCTGACAATAAAAAATATAGTTTCCCAAATCACCACCAGGGTCGTTTGGAACAGGGCTTTGTTTTACCTCTGTCCTGCTAGATAGCGACACTATTTTAACGACTGTAACCTGGGTAGTGCTGCTATCTATCAGAATCACTTAGTACTATATCCAAAGCCAGTTTTATTGCAGAACATTGCCATCCAGTATAACTACTGTTGTTTTTATTGTAATTCAGTGTATCGGTGGCAATGTCACGCAGCGGCCGAGCGTTAGTTCAGCAACTGGCGCCGTCCCGGCATCTAGCGCTCAGCAGCGAACGTGTTAATGTCTACCACATTGCAAGAGAAATTTCATTCCACAGTCATTAAAAAATTACCTTAAAAAGTTTAAAAGTTCAACTCGGCTCTACTGTAACTTTTATTATTCACTTTCCTTTAGTGATATTAACTACGGCAAAACAATTTTCTGACAGACATTTGGGCTAAAATAAATTCTGTTGATCTTTTGACTCTACCTCATTATTTTATGGTGTATCAGCAATGTTAAATCAACATTTAGGTGCAAGTGATTTAAAGATAGTATTGAAAATGCATGTACTTTTAGTGGAAATCATAACTGTTTTAAAATTTAAGGTGTGTAACATTCTTTGTCTCCAGAAGTTGTTCCACTATCCAAAAATGGTTAGTAAAATGTTGTAATTGCTAGATATAGTTAGGTAAAAAAGTTATATAATTTATAAAGGTTATAAGTAATAAAAAAACAAAATATGTTGCAAAAGAGAAAGCATTTAGGTTATAAATTATAAAAGTTAAGACAGAAGGTGGGTCATTACAACAATTTTAAGCTGATTTCTATCAGCTACACAATGTCTTCACATGTTAAATAGAGAAAGGGTTTAAAAATTAGCCAGCAAGGGATATTTTTGAGAATAAAAAATTAGTTAATATGGATATATATATATATATATATATATATATATATATCCTATGCATAAGTCACTATTTTCTAATAAAACCAATAGCATCTCTAAGTATTCAAGGACTTAACTGATTGCAAGACTTAAGGAAAAAAGCTACAAACTTTTAAATAATTGACTGATGTTGAATTTAAATATTTGTTTGTTCAGCTAAAACTTGCAAGTGGAAGCTAATAATGTATACATTGAATTTAAATCAAATAAAAATATTGTATTCATACAGCAGAACTTTATCAAAATACTGTGCATGGAAATTGATTTATCACACCTCAATATCTATACTAGAATTTAGGTTACTAAAAGATTCAAAGCAAACCCAAAGCTTTAGATAAAAGCTACAAAAACAAACTGTTTATCAAACCATGTCAACTAATAAAAAATAGCAGAGTAAGACAAACAAATAAACAACGCAAATACCAAAAACAAATTTGAATATAAAAACACTAAGCTTACTTCAAGAAAAAGAGAATTTTACTTCAAAAAGTCAAACTCAAGGGGCAACCATTTATGGAAAAACCAGACCGTGCTAAATAGAAAAACGTTGGAAAACGGGATTCTATAAAAGCAGTAATTTTGGAAGGGGAACATACTTAGTAATTACGTGATTGTTGTGGAGAACCAGAATGAATATCACAACCATGAAAACTGCAAAAACAGAACTTGATTAATAGACAACAAATAAATGTTGTGGAAAGAGATAAATTATAAACCATATTGTCTTTGGATGGTCTACCTGTAAAACCATTGAGATTAAGCATGTTAAATTGTGATTAATAATATATATTTTCAATTAACATATTATTATATGGAATTTTTTTTTTTGTAAGATAGAAGGTTTTAATAAGTCATAATACATAACAGAGTTAATTAATTTGTTGACTAAGTCTTCAATATAAATGATATAAATGATATTACTAATTCACCTCAACACACACTTTATACTCTAAAATTTTAAAATGTTCTTGTACTCTTCACAAAACAGTTTACAAAATATCTTGTGATATGAACTTTGCTCATTCGAGTGTTTTTTTTTTAATCAACTTAATTTTATGCTACACTGTACTTAATTGATTACATGCCAATGGTAGTAAGATGGTAATTTACTGGTTTTATGTGATTGTTGATTGTAACTGCAGCAATTTTAATGGTTGTGAACAGTTTCAGCTAACACTACACATGCATAATAAATAACACTTTGTAGTAAATATGTTTGTTAACAGATACATTAAAATCTAGAATAGATTTTTTTTAAATCTTGTCTGATATGTCAGGCTCTTTTCCCACTGGGCCGCCATGATGGAGACACCAGTGGCGCCGAAGAAGTAGGTGATTTAGCATATTATATTATATCATTGAAATTGCAAAAATGTCGGAAAACATAGTTTTTGGGTTCACTTATTTTAAGAGGAAGAAATACCACAGGGACTTTTTTCACTCACTTCCAAAAAAATTACAGGGTTATTTCTAAGGTCTTGGTAGTGAGTGAAAAAAGTCACCTTGGTCTTTCTATCCGCCTTAAAGTTTTTGTAATTTGAAAAATATACCTATGTATGTATGATAAAGCACCTGCTTCTTTGACGTCCATGATTAAACTGTGAGCTAGTGGCCCATGCTCTTTTGACTGGCCACCATGGTCGCTTAAAAACACAAACTGGCGAACAAATAGCAAAAACTAAAAACAAAAAACCCTTAATTACTTTTGTTGTTATGCACGGTTTTAAGTTTACCATGCTTTACAAAGAGTCCATAAGCTATATATTGGCAGTTTCAGTGATACAAAAAATTCTAAAAACGTCTCAACGTCTGGGCCTGCAAAAAGGCTCCTTACATTTTATTTTTTATCACACCTTTCTTAGTATCATCCTTGTTTTAACTAGAAAAAAATATAAATAATTAGGTCAAAATATCAATTTATTAAACGGATAAAGTTACAGAATTAAGTGAAATCTACTTAGGGCCTTCACTAGGGTTCACTAGGACAGTTGACATGATCTGCACGACAATCTGCTTGATGTTTCAATTATCAGGGCCGTACCCAGCTTTGGCAGGCCCCAGTAAAGATATTAGGCTGGGACCCCCACTTCCCTCCCCTTGAGGTAAAAGTTTGGCGAGGGGCCCAAAGTTGTTCGGAAAAACGTGTCTGAGTACGGCCCTGTCTATTATTGATATCCCGGAATAGAGTATATTAATAACATTCCAACTAGTTTAAAAAATACATTTTCTTTTGACGATTTAGCAGCAGAAGTAAAGCACCTATCAGAAAAAAATTACAATATAGTTCTTAGAGTTGAAGACATACCTCTCGCTGTCGGGCGTGTCGGCAGGACAGGGCGCTGGGTCGGCGCTCTCGTAGATACCCTCCTCCTCTGCGAGGTAGTGGGGCGCCGCGGGTCGACCGCTCGGCTGTCTGTAGCGCCCATACACGAACCTGCCGTCCTCCTCCCCTCTCCGTACACGACTGGAACACAAGACACAATGTCAATATGTGTGCATTTCTACTCAATGTACATTGAAATAATATAAGTTATTTAAGAGATTATTGCCAACATTCTCAATAATGATTAATGTGACAAAGTTTTCAAAACATTCCAGTCCTCCGGTAGAAAACAAATGAAATCATTCAAAAAAAGTACACAAACCTGGCCAAAAGCTACACAGGGAACTGTAAGGTAATCAAACAAAAACCCTTCGATAAAAAAAAAAGATTTTCATCTGTGTGCTAATGTGTCATTTTAATGTTGTTGTTGTTAGTTAATAATTATAGTTTTTTTTTAAGAATTTGTATATTTCTTTGACTACTGCAGCCTACAGTTGTCTGTGTGGCTTTTCATTTGTTTTTCCAACCTTGACTTGGTTAGTTTACTAATCTGTACATGTTTTATTTCCTTTCTCTTTCTCACCTGAGGTTCCAGTTACTGAAGGGTCATACAACTATTATTTAGTATTAAACTTTATAGTGAAATGTATAATTAAATTTAAAAGTTCAACAAGGCCAATATATAATAAATTATTTTAATCCACAAGCGCTTTCAGAAACTATGTTTCCATCGTCAGGCTGTGTTTAAAAACTGATACAAAAAGTAAATATTTACAATAATAAATTAATTTAAAGTAAAGTTAAAACAGATGATGAAGAGGATATTCGAAAAATATATGAAAAAATAATCTTTTGAAATTTGGATATATTACAGTGTTTTTCTTGATGTAATTATTTTAAGTAATTCCGAGTTCATAATTGGGCCGTAATTATAATTTCATAATTATAATAATCATAAGTTCATAATTATACCATTGACTATTGAGGTTATACATAAAATTGAATTCTATATTTACTTTTTGTATCAGTTTAAACACAGCCTGACGATGGAAAAATAGTTTCTGAAAGCGCTTGTGGATTAAAATAATTTATTATATATTGGCCTTGTTGAACTTTTAAATTTAATTATACATTTCACTATTCATTGCCAATATCTCCAATATAAGTTATATTAAACTTTATGGAAAATGTTCACAACTATCTCTTAAATAACATAAACTGTCATGACAAAAAATTAACTTTGAGCAAATAATATTGGTAGCCTAAGTGTTCAAATTACAATGGAACATTACAATGCAGGTATTCCAAGAAAATGTTTGTGGAGTAAAATCTAAAAGCAATTAGTTCAAACATGCTGCTAGGTTATACACTCAAACTCCGAATTCGAATAATCTTCTAAAGTTTTACCCACTTTGCGATGTGGACAGCGTGTAATACCCCCGTCGCAAAGTAAGCAATTTATTCGGACATTGGCCAAAGCGTAATGACTAGACCGCGTTGTGGGTAAACTGATTTACTCGAATGCCAAAGTCAAAACGTTCCTCCGCTATTGAGCAAATCCTAAATACCCACAACGCGATGTGATTAAAAGTGATTGCCCAGGTCAGGTTGTGGGTATTTCTAGTTTGCAGGAAATCCATAATGAAGACCTAAATAGAGAGCAGTTAAACGTACCTTTGAGCACTTTTTCCTCAAGAAAATCTGCTATTGATACAACACGAACACGTGAAAACTGTGTAGGCCTAACTTCCTAAAAAATCCAGCAAGAAAAAATGTTAATGAACATGGAAAGAAAATTAACCCCAGTTAAAGTCAAAGACATCGTGATGGTCAGTATTCTTGATGTTGACTGGGGACTACTAGCTCCTAGAACTGTAATAGCACTTGTTGTAAATAATAACAATGACTACAACACTCTTGGTACGAAACATGGGGTTCTGGACAAATAGTTCTCAAGATACCATTTCAAAGTGGCACCAAGTAAATTTATTTGCACCGAGGATGTACCTGATGAGCCGCTAAACGTTCGGAAAGAAACAATGATGTAATTCGGATCCAAGCAAGATTTTATCAGATGGGGTTGCAAGAGGAACTGTTTAGGTAAATCGTGAAAATGTATTAAGTTGTCACGATTGTGACAGAAATTATATTTCATTTTCATAGGTTATAAGGAAATAGAATTGAATGTGAATACAAATCCTGGAAAACTAGAAGAAACCGGTTTTCTTAGTTCAAGTCGATGTCAGCATTGATAACTGCAAACACACAGTCTCTGGTGGCAAGTGTTCGAGACTAGGCTTAGGCCGGTTTTATGCACCGCGACAGTCGCGTGTCGCGGCGCGACTCAAGTTCTATTGAGTTAAATGGGAGCATTTATGCACCGCGACAGCGACAAACTGCCGCGGAGCGACTCTAAATACCCGCGACAGGTTTTAGAATCGCAGCTTCAAAAAATGTGTCGCGCGCGGTTCAAGTTCTATTGGATCAAATGGGCACGTTTATGCACCGCGACAGTCGCGGCGCGACAGTAGTATTTTTCATACTCCACGTGGTATATTCTCCATATACTTATATTGATTAATGTTAATAATTAGTATATAAATGAGTTCTTTACTCTTTATTTTTAATATAAATTACATCATTATATTGTGTAATGACATTTTTAAGAGGGTTGACCCAATTCCAACTGTAAATTGCATGTGTTGTTTAAATAACTGGGGTTTTGTCATTAACGTGTACAACACTACAGGGTCTATATTTTAACAACTTAATAATCACTTCTACATCAAAACACAACACACAACATTTGATTGAGAACAGACTGATTTCTTTAATTCCCCCACCACCGGATGTGAGTTTACGCGACAAAAAAGTGTCGCTGTCGCGTGACATTTTTGTCAGCCGCAAGACGTGGCGCGACTCGCGACTCGCGACTGTCGCGGTGCATAAAACCAGCCTTAGGGTAGCAATGATTCATAGCTTGGAGGAGAACCACGTTGTTTCAATCTCATTTTGCGTAGTTGTGGCCGACAGTCAACTTGTTCCCTCGATTTGGAGGTATGTAGTGCAAAAATTAACCAATTTAATTTATGTTTATAAGGTTATTCTACGAAAAATCAGTACAACTTCAATTTGTAAATATATAGCTAAGCATTTTGGTAAACCAATTAATATAAAGAGAGAATATTTCGATTAAATGAGATTTTTTAAGGTAAAATTAGGTTGGTTTCAAAGTCATGTTCTAATTGAACCGATAGGATTTTAATATTGTTTTAGTTGGGGGTAGTTATAACCCTTCGAGTGTTATGTGTCATAAAAGCGACTCATAACACACTTTGTGTAGTGTTTTGTGTCGCTTTTGCGACTCACAAACACTGTTTACGGCGAAGGCTCTATGACTGACTAAATCGGATTGAACTGGATCGAGTTAGGTATCGTTTTTATTTTGCAGATTCTAAGCTTTCTCCCGAGGTCTGTCTCTAAGCGCTTTTTTTTCTCGAGCCGATCATAATTGTAGCAGACAGCTGACGTGCGTATTTGTAAACAGCTTGGTTAACCTCGCACCGATGACTGATGTGTTTTATTACGTTTATCATTGTTTTAGTGTTAAAAATCAAAAGTAGTGATATAGGTGGTGCATTATAAGAAGATTTAAGTGATTTTGAAGGGCTGGTTGATGATCCTGAAGAAGTAGGTAGTGATACTGATGTAAATTATCAGCCAGATTCCTAGCTATGGTTAGGCTATGCATTCTTAGCTAAACGCTATGTACCGAAATCTTATTTTTGCCCATAACTTATTTATTTGCAAATCTATTTCTTTATATTATTATATTTTTGGAATACTGATAAAATTCTGAACAAAGTGGCTATTTTAAAATATTTGTAGACCTATAAATTATAAGAATTTATTGAGCGCAAACATAAGTTTTTTTCATTTATTTTATAATTTTTGAGAAATGTTAACCCCACAAAAATTTTTGAACATTTTTTTTGTAATGTTTTATATGTTATATTGAAGCCCATAATTTTCCAAACAAAATGATATATAAAACAGTATACTTTACATTGTTTTTAAGTTTCTAAGATAAATTTTAATAAAACCCTGCGATTGCGCAATAAATTGGCGAACATTAAGACCAAAACTAGAGACACTTGGAGGGTTAAGGATTTGTCTAAACAGGTATTTATTTCGACAAGAAGAAGGATATGTTTAATTGAGGGTATTTTTGAATTATTAAAATGTCACAGTAAACTGATTTAGTAATTCGTTTAAGAATAAAGATGTATTAGACACATGTTTGAGACAGCTGATTTAAAATTACTTTGAGGTCAATTTTATTATTATGTAAATTCAGTAAGAGGTAATATGTTTAAATATTTTATATTTTGTACTTACAAATGATTTTATTTAGGGGGTTATTTTAAATGTTTGTCAATGAGAACAAAATGCGAATTATCAAAATTTATTGTGGAGAAACTAGACTTCAGAAACAATTTGTGGGAAATTAACTTTGCTGGATAGATGTGTGATTAGACTAAAATAAAGATATTAAAGAAGGGATCCATAGTACGAATTTGGAACATGTTCTAGGGTTCAAGTCTCAGAGTTGACCATCGTCGGGGAGTTTACCATCGTCGGGGAGGTTACCATCGTCGGGGAGTTTACCATCGCCTATCTGCTGTCTGGAGGAGTCTGGACCAGTATCACCTTCTTGGGGGCCTAACAACCGTCTGGGGACAATCTGTTTGCAAACCATGGACGTCTTCTCACCAGTAGACTGTCTCCGGCTCAGATCATCTCACTGAAGCTCCACCAAGGATTGAAGACAGCGTTCGTGAAGTGATGAGTACCCTTCACCATGTTACACATCAATATTTTCAAATTTTATGATTAGGCCTATATTTGAGTTGTAAAGTAGGAAAGTATGGACTTTGGAGAGGACAAGAAGTTTTAGGGGGATTTTTATATAAGGTTTGATCTATCAAAGAAAGGGGAGGGCAAAATATAAAAGGGGGGGGGGGGTTAGTAATGATTGTAACGTTTATTTTGGTTAAGTGAAGATATTAATTTTGTTAATTTTCTAAGGTCAATATCATACTGAACAATTGTTAGTTTTAAGAGTTTATTTCATTATATTGGATTTTTACTGAAATAATACGACTTCTTATTTCAGCATGCCTCCTTTCACAGCACGCTACACTTGGTTTTAAACTTAAGTCACTTAGGTGTGTCAAAGTTATACCATTGACTATTGAGGTTATACATAAAATTGAATTCTATATGCCAAGGTAGCACAGCCTGAGCCAACAAATAAAATACAAATGAAACAAGAACAATAAACAAGAACAAGAAAAAATATTTCTGCTATAAATATTTCAATGCCTGTGTAGTTGCTATATGAGCCTTTTTATAGTTTTTCATATTCGGTAATTTGCTGCTTACTGCACCTTTTATTTTTTTAATGTTATTTTATACTCGTACATTAAACAAATATAATTTCAAACATAAATTTGATTTTACATTAGCCTACCTATTGATTGTGGTATACAGGCTATTCGGCGTTTGTGCAAACTAGAAATACCCACAACTCGACGTGGGCAATCACTTTTGCTCACATCGCGTTGTGGGTATTTTGGTTTTGCTCAATCGCTGAAAAACTTTTTGACTTCGGCATTTGAGTAAATCAGTTTTCCTACAACGCGGTCTGGGCATTTCGCTTTGGCCGATGTCCGAATAAAATGCTCATTCCGCGTCGTGGGTGTTTCACACTGTCCACATCACGAAGTGGGTAAGAATTTCGGTCATTGCCCGAATTTGGAGTTTGAGCGTAACATATGTATCCTATTGGGTACACACACAACTAAGAGTAAGTCTTAGGTACTATATTACTTGATTATAACATTCTATTACTGACAAATTTCAACAATTTAATTTTCTAAAATGTCAAGTCAATTATTTTGGTGAACCTTGTAATTTCAAGAATAAAACAAAATGTCAAAAAATTTATATGACAATTCAACATTAAGTCCAACAAGGCTCTTACGCAAGTGATCTTACAAGTCTTTGTTACAAATCCTCTGTGGAAATATCTCCAGAATGAAAGGTTTTTGGGATTGAAAATATTTTGGGCTTAAAAGTTATACAAAATGTAAATAAGCCAATCCTGATTGAAAATAAATGTTTGTGAGAAAACGAGATCCGATTCAATATGTCGGTTTCACTTATTTGGATTTATACAATTTATATATAAATTACAGTCTGTATATTTGAGGCGTTTGGAAAAAACTAATTTAAGATTTAACTTTTTTACGTTTTGTAAGGCAATGTTCAATCCTGATCTTATTACTATTTAATGATAAAATTTGTTAAAGAAGCATCATTTATTAAAATAAACCCAAATGAGAAATGGAATCCAAATCCAGGATCAGTCTTGCTTTTGACTTAACCAGCAACCTTTAGACAACCGATACAAACGAGCAAAAGCAGTTTAAACATATAAAATATATAGTAAAACAAATAATTCAATAAAGCATAAAAAAATAATTAATTAACCAAGCAATGAACAGCCCAATGACAATTTGGAAAGAAGCATATATAGGGTATTGCTGAGCAAGCAATAAACAAACAAAGGTAAACCAAGCTTACTTGCCATGCAATTATATTGAGTGTTTTACAAGCCCAATCAACTTACCCAGCATAATCAGAACTAACAAAACAAATACACAAACACAAGCTACACATACCGCAGTTGCAAGCACTACATGCATCTTATACAACCAACTAAAAAACCTGGTCGACAAAACAAACAGAACGTAAAAGTAAATATTTTATAGGCCTAATGATATACAAGTGTGGTGTTGAAGCGAGATGAGAAGAGCTTTACCTCGGGTGTTTAATTGCAATGTGAGGGCCACTGTGGATCACAATTGGAACTTGCGAGTCCTGCAACAGGACACCACGTCTAGTTAGGCCTATAAAATATCTACCTTTCACTGCCCATCTACACAGACTAGCACATAGTTAAACGACTGAAGGCTTCTGTCAAAACTTTATTTAATCCCTTTTTTGGAGGAAAAACAATTGGCATAAGAATACTTCAGAGAAGAAAGAATGGATACACAGCTATCTTACTGAAAGAACTGTTCCAAAATAACTTTATATTTAACCAGTACAAAAGTGGTCCTTCTGAAGAACATATTTGTAGGGGCGAAATATCACATTACTTGTAATTGTTTTCTCGGGTAAGTTAGTTAAGTTTATTCCTTCTTATCTAATGTATTTCCCCCTTAGTGTTTGATACTATAATAGTTAATGTTAGGGTGCTATAGCTTACAATAAGTTGTCCTTTTATTTAAGAGATTACTGCAGACATTTTTGATCACAAACATAAAAAAACAAAGTTTTCACAACGTTTTGGATTCTGGAAACTTTTTCCGCCTTTGGGAGAGGAAGTACTCAAAAGGAGTTTCCACCTTTGGCAAGGTTTGTGTATTATTTTGTTATGTCTTGAATACCTTCTCACCTGAGGAGAGATCAGATTCCAATCCCAAATGCAGTGAAAACTTTTCTTTTTTTAAATCGTGATAGAAAATGACTGTAATAACCTCTTATATAACACAAATATATAACACAAACTCACCGAAATTGAGTTTTAATTTTGATTTAATTTAAATGATCTTTTAATTTGGTCTTTCAATTTGGTTTGGTTGACAAGTCGGAATATTGAGTAATGACAATCGCGCATTGTGTGAGAGGCTCACAGTTTAACATGGAGAAGGGATGCCTAACTCTATCAATATTCCAAGCCACAACACACTACCCTGCAGCCAACCTGCAGACCAAGCTAATGAAAAGTGATTGCTTGTTTGCAAATAGTTGTCGGAAAAATATACTTTGACAACATTTTTTATAAAAAAAAACAACAATAATTGGATTGATGAGTAGGCTACTTAGATTTGCTTCTAGTAATATAGAGAAGAGTTATCTTCATGGATATCCACCATCTTGTAAACGGTCATTTACTGATTTGTGGTATTTGGATGGTAACTGGGTCAAAATATATGAAATATTATCTGGTGGTTACTTATCACCAAAAATAATCTTCAAACAAAGTACATGAAACACATTTACTCACCAACGTTGTATAGTGCCATCTTCAGGACAACTTAACTTCCCCACACTTGATATCAAGAGATGAACTGGCTTTATCAATTATTTTATTATTTATTTTAATTTTTATCAATTATTAAATTTATTTATTTATTTATTTATTTATTTATTTTTATTTATATTTATTTATTTATTTATATTTATTTATTTATTTATTTATTTATTTAACATGTAAACAGTGGTAAAGTCAAGTCACTCTAATGATGGCACTGTTCATCAATGATGAAACCTTGGGGGATAATGAATTAAAGTAATTAATCTATTTTGATAGAGTCGTCACGTTAAGACCACAAATATACACCATGAAGTGTTGTTTTCGTTCTTTTTAAAATGCTTTAAGAAAAATGGACAATGTTATAAAGAATTTTACTTTCAATAAACATAATTTTAGGTTGTGTTAGATTAATGTGTTGAATACTTTAAATATTAGTTACAATAAACTATGACAAATGTTAACGACTAATTTTATCATCCCTTTAAACCAAAATTAAGATTAAGTGAAAAAATTTCATTCTTTTTGCAGGTGTGTAATACAAAGATATATAAAATGGAGGTGTACCTTTAAGATAATGGAAATATAGTTTAAGGCCAATGAAAATTAATTTTACAAAAAGCCGTGTTTTAGCTGCTTAACAATAATCATTACCTAAAACACTTACTACATGAACAGTAAGAGGTACATAGTTACATGCTCATCTTCCTATTGTTAACAACTAGGTGTTCAGTTTTCTAAAGTGATAAGTAATGTAACATAGATTCAAGAAGTGGCATGTTAGCCAAGTGTTTTTCACATTTAACATGTATAATGTAAACATTAAACACAAACATTCTTACACTAAAAAATTCACAGTATGGACGTAAATATTTCAGTGATTGTGTGTAAAATGTGTGTTGAGACTTCCAAATGAAAAAAATAACCTTTTGACTTAAGACTTTAGAAAAGTATTGGATTAATATGCTAGCTCCGTTCAATATTTCAAGCAGACAACTGCAATGTACACCTAGTTCAGTGTTTCCCACTCATAGCCGCATTAGTTTGTCCATAATAACGATTATAAGTTCTAAAAAAACATTATTTCTATTTCTCCTACTTTGTCGTGTTCTAGTTTGCAATTTGGCTCGCTCAATGATTGTTTAAGAAATGCAGCACAGTGTTGATTCAGTTTTCTTTTTAGTCCCTGTATCAAAATTTTCCAGGCTTTCTTGATTTTTTCCATTGATTTACGCCAACCCAAATTCAAATAGTAAACATTTCATTTCAACCAAGTCAGTAAATTTTTGTAGCACACGTTTCCTTAAATTGCAACTAAAATATGTTCTTCATAAGGATAACATGGGAACTTTAAAAGGCACTGGGGCAGAGCCCAAGGGACTTTTTCAAAAATATAAAATTTTTTTTAAATCTACACACCTAGATGAACATTTTGGTATAAAATATTTGGGGTTAAATATAAAAAAAGCCTTATTGTTCACAAAGTTTCATGTAGCATATTAGTAATATAGATGTTTATTTATTTATTTTACATTTCAACGGACAGCTCCATTTTGATATTGGTAAAAATATGATCAAGACTTACTTACGACTAGTACAATACAATGGTTGATTTTGATAGTAATGGTATGTAATTTTATAGAGTAATTTTTCATTGTGTATTTAATGTGTTTTTAGAAAGAACAGCAAATTATTTTTAGGCGAGGGGTTCAAAAATCCTTCTGGAAGTGCACCTTATATAGTTCAACAAGTAAAAAAAATAACTCAGATAACCAGTGATTATAGTTGAGGAGTTCCTGAAAGCGTCAGAGTAACATGCTGTACATACCCCGACTGTGTGTCTAGCCTGTAGTGTCTGTCGGCTTCAGTCTCCGACATCCGGATGTCCTCGGATCCCGACGGACTCATATGTCGTGCCGAGTGGTGCTCCAGCTGCCGGATAAGATCCTCCAGGTTACGTATCCGAATGGGGCCACACGACGGCGGCACGTCGTCATCTTCATCATCGTCTGGATAATGGGATACTGTTGAAACGGTTACTTCACTTATAGTGTATAAAGTATTGATAAAAGTACGTTTAAGGTTAAGTGAATGTTATTGTTAGGGTAACTAAAAATAGAAACTGAAATATACTTTTCTTTAGTTGGTTATGGTTTAATTCAGAATTTTAATGTGATACGGTTGAAAAATTTGAGTAACACAGTTGACATAAAACAAGGTATATATAAAGTTTAGGTACCGTAAGTAAACAAAGTCACACAAATTCCTTTGAGATTTTGGTGGTTTACAACCTGTTAAGGGTTTAAATCAATCAGTTGGAATACAAAAGGTATTTAAGGTGTTCATTTAGTTTTTCACCTACAAAACAAACCAGAGGGAATAAATAAATAATCAAACATTTTGTTCACACATTCCCAAATGAACTGTTTAAAAAACTGTCTGTATGTTGTCATAGACAAAAAGAATCCAATATAGACCTTCAGCTGTGCTGCGGTTACCATAGGTTCTGGCGCACACCGCTGGGAGCGCCATGTAGTTACGGCGTACACGCTACATAAATACATGGCTCTCCCAGCGGTGTGCACCAGATCCTATGGTAACCATGGTACCCGCAGCACAGCTGATAGTCTAAGTCTATTTATAATTTTTTTTGTCTATCACATTGTTTAGTGGAAATTTGGAAATTTTACAAGAAATAACATCTTACATATTATAAACAAATTGATAAAGTTTCATTCAATATATATATATTCTTGGCGTTGCACTCCACCCAGGAAATATTTCAATAACTAGTTAAATATAATCTGCCTATTATTTAGTGTATACAACTTAGTTTTTGGTACAGTATCGCTATTTTTGAGTTTACCTGCATCGCTTCGATGATTGCTACGATGATGATGATGCAAATGTGATGGACCTGACGGATCTTCCACCATCACCGTGTGCGTTTGTGATGTGGAATGACCTACAGTTTTCAAATTTGATATTAATCATTCTCATAAATTCACAATAAATCAAAAAAGATACATAATATGAGATTGTACACACATTTTATAAACTAAAATCTTACTGAACATTCGTAATATTTGTTAGGTAAGTTAATTAAGTGTTTATTTAATATTTTTCAAGTACTGTAGATTTTATGAGAAATCTAAAATCTATGTGATGATCAAGGAATTGCAACGGGAAAGCATAGAGTTCAGCTAGTTTATCGGAAAACCGAATCCATAGCTCAACGTCTCATGAATGAAACCTAGTACAAGGCTTATATTTGGTCCTCATTAACGAGTTGTTTAAAAAAGTTTAAGAAACAACTTAATTTCTTTCATTTCAAAAGGATAAAATAAATGTTACCCCTACCATCAACCCAATTCTAAAAAAATCTTCTGGGTAAAGGATAACCTAGATAAACATATTCAGTGACTCTCCGCATTAAAGCCCATTATTCATTAAATATCCTTTATAAGAGTTTGTGGATCTTGACACATCCCTACCTCCGTCACACAGCTTGTCCTGACTGAGCGCTCGCTTGTAGCCGTGCTGAACCGCCGCAGCCAGTGACCGACGCAGCAGATCCTCACTGCTGGACGACGCAGGAGTAGCCGATGCAGGCCGGTGTTGTGACGCTGCTGTACGCAGCGCCTCCAGGATGTCTTCGTGGTACCCATTGAGCGACTTTAGGGTTCTCTCCACCTGGAATGATTCGGAAAGTTGTTAATTTTGTCAAATTATTCTTTTGCATGTGCTCCTTCATAATTGTGCCATTTGAGTGAATTAAATATTAACACTAACAATAACAAGTTTGCATCAAAAGATTCACAATATTTATTTTTATTTTAAAACATAAAAATAATACAGTAAAATCAGGATTATTAAAAAAAAAAAATTTAAAAATGTATTACCGTCCTGTATATTTTACAAAACATAGGCCTAAATGTATTTAATCCCCTCAAATTTATAAAACTATTTAACTGTTCCATACAAAAATCATTTCAATTCCCCTTAGCACGAGAGCCAAGAGAGCCCCACTTCTCCTTCATACAGATGTCTTCTTTCCAAGAACAAAGATTGTGTATTACTCACCTCAGAGATGGCTCCCCCTGCCATCATGTCTGGGCCGAGGTTGTTGTCAGACTGAGAGAGAATCTCCTGGTTATCACTCTGAGAGTCCCCCTCAGCCCCCCACTTCTCCTTCATGCAGATGTCTCCTTTGCAAGGACAAAAGATTGTGTATTACTCACCTCAGAGATGGCTCCCCCTGCCATCATGTCTGGGCCGAGGTTGTTGTCAGACTGAGAGAGAATCTCCTGGTTGTCACTCTGAGAATCCCCCTCAGCCCCCCACTTCTCCTTCATACAGATGTCTCCTCCGTAAGGACAAGGCTTCTTCAAGATTCCTTTCTCCGGGAGTTTAGACAGGTTGTTAGGCGCCAGATCGATGAAAGATACTGACTCTTCTTCACCTTTTACAAGGAAAATTCCATAGTAAAATACATATTGTTTTGAAATTTTGTTCCTTATTGTTCTTTAAAATTGGGTCATTAAACTATAACAGTGGAAAATAAATCTTGCATAGACTAAAATATTTAATTTTCTGTTCAACGTTTCATAAATATTGCCTATTAATAATTACAGGCCAAGTTGAACAAAAAAATAAAATTAATTTAATAACTCAGCAAAGAAATTCTGTTTGGCAATGGTAAATTTTTATCGTTAACAGATGTGAGCATTTTTACATATTACGCTTCCTAAACAGAAGTGGAAATAATGTAACTACCGTGGGCTGACATCAGCATTACAATCTGCACTGCTGTGCCTTACCAACTACATAACTGTTTGGTCCCAGATTTACTGCTTTTGTGCCTACTTACAATTAAAAAATTTCTAATATCCACAACTGTATACAACAAGAACATTTATCTGGCTTAAAAAAAATTGAAAATGAGAATTGGGTTCAGTATTATTTGACTGGGTTTCAAAAACATGGAACATTTACTGCAATAACCAATCGCAGATAAATTAATAACCTTATACAACTTATAGAATTAAATTAGCAATATTAGTACATTGAAGAACATTGGGGCAGGCGATTTTAACTTACACAAAATGAGTGGAACATTTATGAATGCAAGGGAAGATACTAAGACATAGATGGGATTCACAACCATAAATGCAACAAATAAATGTGTGGATAGGAAAAATAGAAGTTAATGATGTTTAAAATATGATGTTATAACTTTATTATATTTTTATTAAGTTTTAGGAAGAATATAGTGATAAAAAAATCACACATTTATTATTAACAGTAAAATTGATAAAAAAAAAAAAAACATATCAATATCAATGCCTGTTGAATTTCTGTTTGTAAAGTTAGTTAACAGGATTTTGTAGAACCTAACCAACATTTTGAATATAGTTCCTGTATCAAAACCAAATATTATTTTTCAGAATTACCTAGCTCATTTTGCTGTTCCACAACATTTTTCCAATTATTGCCAACTTCAAATGAAAATGGGAACTTCAAAATAAGAAAAACTGAACATTTTATAGAATTACAGTAATAACAATTTAAAGAGTAACTCAGTTTAGAAACAAACCTAAAGACCCAAGCATTAAAATAATCAATAAAAAAGTACTGCAAACCAAGTAAAGGTGTCAAGAAACTGAAAAGTGCCCATTTCATAAGATTAAGGTACAAAGTTATCAATGGACAGTTTCTATTTCTTTATGTTATTTTATTTATATAGATTATAACATTTAAATTGTGTTTTATTAACAGGTAAGGTTAGGGAAATCATAAAAAAATGTGTTATCAGTTTAGACTACAGAAATATAACACGAAAGTTTGGAACAATGCAAAGTTGATGAGAAATATACAGCAATGTAATTAGTAAATGTCTGGCTACATTAAGAGGAAACAACCAAACAACTTTGAAAGATGTTGACTTACATAGAGCACTGGCTGTCAAAAATACAGAGTGAAAAGTTCAAATAGTGTATTATCATGCAAAAGTTATGAAGAATGACTTCTGATTGCAAAATCACCGATATTTTATGCCAACTTACCATATTTCAAGACTACTTATGGCATATTAGGTTGTATCAAAGCTAAGAAGTAAAAGATAAAACTCAAGACACAATTCACGTCATGGGTAAAATCAGTACTTCCTTTGAGAACTACTACTGTCGAAGAAAACAATATGTCCAATCGAGTTTGAACACAAAAATCTGAGGTAGATCATTTGATTGTATTGAAACAAAAGTCAAATTGAAGTCATAAGGGTAAATAATCTGCTGAACATAACAGATTAATGTTATGAGAAAGTTCATAAAAAAAGGATAGATTTTTTTAAAATTTAACTCTAGCATCCGAGTTTAAACTATAATTATAAAGAAACTATTTCACTAATCATTGTGAAATTTGTAGAGCTTACTCTTAGGTTTATTGGAAACGTAATCATAACAAAATATCTTTTATCACAGTTTGTATGCTACTGTGAGTTTTTATGACGTAAACTAAAACAATTATTTAGAAACTACAAACTTCATTCAAATTATCAACGTGTCAGTCATTAGAAGAAAAAAATAACAATGATACAATATATACTTTAACCAATTCACAATTCATTGTTAAAAAAATCTTTCTCCTGTTACTGACAGTGGGCCGCCTGCTCTTTGTACGATAATTCTCAAGGGGTGGGAGCGTGAGTGCCACTGCAACGTTACCTACCTGGCTACCACACAAAGCTAAACAGCACCATTACTTCGCTCTTCACTCGTGACACATAACTCTAGTTTATTCCCATCAGTATTTTTTTGACACCTTTAAACTTCTAAGGACAGCTTGGTTTGACATCTTCCAATGGGAACATACTGCATAATTTAGAGGAACATGTACTGTGAATTCAATGAGTCATTCAGGAACCAAACCATGTCCCAGACCAATAGCTTCGCTGAGGCAACATTAAAGCCTAACAAAATATTCATAATCGTACTTGAATGCCTTACAACCAAATCACTTTAAGTTTAAATATCTTTGGGCACAAATTTCTTTAGTTTTAAAAGTTGCGATCAGAAGTCAGGGTGAAATGAAGGGGCTAAGCTACCTGAGTGGGAAGGGTCATCTTCACTACCTGAGGCACCTCCGTGTCTCTTCATCTGCTTCATTTGTTGTTCCCTGCGGACAGACAGAGGCGGACAATCAAAAGTTACGCTCTCAAGTGGCTTAGGCTTATACACGGGACAAGTAGATTGGCCTAGAAGCATTGGTGAATACTGTCATGGATACCAGATTTTTCATATCTGCACATCAGCTGAAGAAAGTTTTAGGTTATGTTTTTATCTGTTATAAGCAGAGTGTGTGCCATGATTATTATTTCTTTCTTGTAATTTTACCATGTTTGAAACTGTTTTGCTTGTCCTTTGCATTAAAAACCCAGTAAAAAGCAGACCAACCATATAATAAGAGATAAAATTCAGCCAACTTTAGAACTTTTAACTGTAACCAGAAGAAACACACGTCTAAAAAGGCTTCAGATTTTAGAATAGAATGAGTACACTTGCATTATACACCAAAGTAAATAATACTGTCTACTGGTTCACCAGAACTAGTGGCATACATCGTGTCCTGGTAAACTGCTCTGGAAATGGTGTTTTGCCACTTTAGTAATAAGTCATACCCAAGTTTAGTAAGTTTAGTGAGTTCTGTCTGGGACACAGTCATACCCAGAAAGCTTGATTTGTTGTGCTAAAATCAAAAGGTATGAATTTAATGAATGCCAACCTACTTACTGCTTCATTGGAAAGTAAGTGAATTGGATAGTTAGCTATGGCTGTTGATTCTGTTGCCTAGTTCTGTCCCTACTAATATTCCCGTGTATAAGCACTTTTAATCTAATTAATAATAAGGTCAAACGATGTGATACATGTAGTGTCAAATGTGCTGAGGAGTGGTAAATTGCTACACAACTAGAAAAAATACAAATGTACAATAGTTGGGATACGGATACGAGTGAGGGAATGGTTTAGGCGTAATGGTGAAACAGCGTTTTTGATGGTAGTTGTGTTGTATTACATCTTTGTGTGTCAGATGATGATTAGAAGTTTATGAAATTATTTTTGACAGTATAAAGGTTTAAAGTAAGGTAAAAATCTTCAAATTTTAAACTGAACAAAATTAATGATTTTTATAAAAAATCAGGGATTAAATGACGATTACAGTGAGAAAGAATGAACCAAATCCATTTTGCAAAAACTCATTCTTTACACAAATCCAGAATTTCACTCTATCCAATTGCTAACCATGTATAATTAAAAATACAGCTTGTATAATAACTTAAAAAAATATAAAGGCATGCTTACTCATTCATACATGCAATTATGTTATACTAAGATATTCACTGCAGAATACTGTAAGTTGCATTAATTGTGCATTAATAATTTATAACAAAATTCTGCAGTAAATACATTTAGGAGCCAAGCTGGGTGAAGTGTTGGGCAAATTTGTTTTTTAAGCAGATTTATCTTGTTGACAAATTCTTAGTAATTAACTGTAAGATATAATTTTTCAAAGGGGGTTTTATCCAAACACAACCCAAACTACGTACAGTGATTCAATGTTTAGGGACAAAACTCATATGTTGGTAGCTCTGATTACTTTATTACATTGCTGATCATCCTATATGCATTTTAGCATTGTTGTCTACCCGGTTTAGTGTTTTTGGGGATTTATTGTGAATAAGACTCAACATGATGTTTTCTTACTCTTTAAGAGTACCTGTGTATTGTAGAAGAGTGTGTTATAAGTAAATATTTTGTTTTATGTAGATAAATTTAAATAAAATTAGTTTTCAGATAATATTTCAGCAGGCCTACTCGATAAATAAACTACAGGTTATATCAAGTGTAAAAATCAATAATGACACACTTATTTGACCATATATATTCTTTATCAATGTTATGGTCTGTGTAAAATAAACACAAGTTGAATCTTATCCACAATAACACTAAACAATGTAAACAACAATGCAGAAATGCAAACCAGTTATAAATATAAAGTAGAGGAAGCAGGGCTGCGAGAGTGACTCTCTGTAACTTGTAATTTGGGTTGCGTAAAAAAATGTGTATTACAAAAATAGTAATATTGTCTGTGTAATTGCAATTTAATTATTTCTTCAATCAAATGAGCTTTTTCAATACAAAATCTACGTTGTATGTATGCAAACATCCCTCGGTTTAAAATGAAGTCTTTTAAAAGTGCCTTATTATTTTTTTAGTTGTTAACTTACTTTGATAAAAATACAGCTTTAAATAGTGTTTTTTTGTTTTTCGAACATTTTGAACACATCTAATATTTTAAAACTATTGAAAGGTAAAAAAAGTCAAAGATTCTATTCCTACAGAGTTATGAATATCAGCTAGAAGATCCAAAATTACAATATGGATTCAGTTCCATATTACGTTATCTTATACAGTCTCCTTGACTAAAATTTTCCATCGCGTGGCATAAACTTTATCCTTGAATTAGAGTATAAGAACCATATTGGGTTTTAAGTAAATGACGGTGATTAAAAGGCAGATTTTTTACAGGGTGTACACACAAAAATGGAAGAGAAACACAATTTTTACAAGAGGTAGACACACGAATAAAGAATAGTCACTAACTGGAATCTTGAAGGAAGGCTACCGCCAGGCATGTGATTTACGGGACGATAATGGGCCCTTTGACTGTCACCACGGCTAGAAAACCAAAATTGTAATTACTTAAACTATCTGTTAACTATATCTGAAACAATATTAACACATTTTTTTAGTAATTAATCAATCTTTTTGATAAAAAAAGTATCCTCAAAATGTGAATTCATAGTAAACTTGCAAAATATGTTTTGATGGTTATTCAATACTGTGCCATCCTCAGACTACAAAGCAACCCACTTCTTAAAGTGTCATCAGAATAAGTTATAACATACAAACAGTTTATATACTAAACAAAAATAAAAACTTTTTCAGAAAGTTCTATTAACCGTATGTGAGAAATATTTAGTTTTAAACTGTATTTGGATTTTACAACTTATTCAACTAACACCTAAAAAGAAGTGATTTGTGGCCTGACAATGAAGGAGTTTTTAATAACCACCGAAGCAATTGTTAAGTTATTTACAAGTTCACAAGTCGAGGATCCTAGGTAAGTTTCAGCTATTATTGTCATAATATGCTGTCCTGAAGCTATAAAAATGATTTATAAAATGTATTTAGAAAAAAGTTATGTAAAGCAAAATTACCTAGTTGTTTTTAAGAACAATTCGCCTAACTATCCTGATAAAAAAATCCAGTAATACTGCTGTTTTTTTCCTTTTCCATGGCAAAAAAAATGATAAAAGCTCGGAAAAAAGAATTAACTGTAACTGTGTATTTTAATAAAACTGTATCTGTTAGCATACTAAAGCATTGCAGCAAGCAAACATTCTGCAGAATAAAGTAAAGTTGAATGGTATTCAATAACATTTACCTCATTTGATTTCACTTTCCTATTTAAAGTATATTAATAAAGAATACCCTAAGCTCTCATGACAAGATGCAAACGATTCAAAAGTTTTTATAGAATCCTCATATCAAATGAATTGGTTTTTAAGTGTTAGAACCTCATTCAATCGACCATATGTTATGACAGCATGACCCAAGTAATTGCTTGTATAGGTAGATGAATACAAGGTGAGTCAGGATGGAGTTGAAGGCCTTGTGTAGTGTAGCCATGTTATCTACCCAACATTCATTATAAATAAACCAATTCATAAAAGGCAGCTAATTAAGTAAACCTAATAATGTTAAAAACTTACAAATTGTCTTGAGACCGATTGAAATGGGCTAAAAGTACAATTCCTAGTGTTCCCATCATAATTGATAACTTAGTAGTAACAGTAAACAAAATATCATAACTGTTCATAAAATGAAATTAAGCCAATTAGTTGTCAATGTAATACAACTGGTTAAAAAGCCATGGATGTATCACCAATAAAATGAACAGATCTGTCCCTAAAAATTTAAAAAACAAATTTTTTTTAGAGTTGAATAGACTTGTAAATGTCGTTAAACTAATGAATCATCTGCTGGTTTCATGAAAGCTACACCTATAATCAGTAGCCGACATGCAATACCTGTATACTGGCATGTTTCCAAACGTAATGATCTTGTTCACACTGTCCACTGCTGCTTCCTCCGGATTGGCTGCTTTTCCAAACGTCTTCTTCGGCATCGGTTTCTTAACGTAAGGCTGATCGTACTTCGGAGGCATACTCTTCCTGCTATGCAAAAGCACGCAAGGGAGCACACGACAGTCGTGTATTAATAATATTGAAAAATCAAAATATAAAATTTAAATATCCTGTCGTTTAGATGGCTTTAAAATTAAACAAGAGTTACGCTACTGTTGTAAAAAGGAGTTTAAAAATCTTTGTTTGTCATAGATTAATAAAAGTCTTTCTTAAGCATATCAATTTGAACACTAAAACATGTTTTTAAAAGATTTTAAAGTACTCAAACCAAAAATTAAATATGTAAAGTACTTGATTAAAATTATCTTAATTGATTTAGGATAAAATAATCCTAACTTTCAGTAAGATTTTCTTATTTTAGAATTATAGTTTTTAAACGGCTCATGCTACAATTAGCAAGCAAAATATACAGCAAAAAGAGATCTTTAGGAAGAAGAAGTGGAATAGAAAAACATGTAAAATTACAATTATACTATAGTTAGTTAATCAAAAAATCATGTTTTGCATAGACATCCTTAAGATAAAATTAAAACACATTACAATTATTTTACACAAGATTAAACAAAACATGGAATGATCAGTTGAATAAGCCAGGTATATTGTGTATAAAATAATTTGTTGACTACAATTTTCCTTTCCTAGATTGTTGGTCTATTCCATCTCTTCTATTCCTCAAATCTTTATATTATCATGCCACAACACGGCTTAGCACATTAAAATTACGAAATATTTACAATAGCAACACTCTGATTAATATAATCTTGAACAATTAAAGCACGTAAATATTATCCAAGGTGTATATCAATGTTTTGTTTACAAAATATAATATTTAGAAAGAAATATCTATTTCATAAAAAAACTACGATGTATCATAAAATATATCTTAAACAAGAAAACTTAAAGTAGGTAACATGATTTCCCGGATGTGTTTAATGAAAATGTGTATTGCATAAAAAACATTAGAAATATATTTATTTTAGATTATAAACATTTCTTTACCTTTGTGCACCAAAACAAGAAAAGCTGTACAAGGAAGTCATGAAAGGGAGCTTAATTTTGACAAAATACAGAATATAATGAGATTCTTAAACAAAGTTGGGACACAGGTTTTTCAGCGTATCTTTAAAAAACAAATTAATAAATAATAAAAATAATTTTTGATAAAAGCAAACGATGCCTGTTTATGAAGTACTTATTAATTACAATAAAGGATCAAGTACAGAAAAACAAACTTGATGAAATACAGCTTTCCTTAATGTATAAAACATGTATGTCTTCGTTCAAATGATGGGATTGAAATTGAATGTTACTAAGCAAATATCTAGCACCTTTTCGTAGTTGGATATGGATGGTTTGTAAAATATTTCAAAACGATGTTGTGTTAATAGTAGATTAAAAATTTCAATAATATCAGGAAACCTCGGACCTAGACCAGGATCTAGGTCTTACCATGAGTAAGAAACATGTCATAAATAAAAATAATCAATTTAAAACTATAAAAAACAGATCACTTTAAAAAATCAACAGATTAAAATGTACTTTCAAATTATGTTGTTCAAATGTAGATGTTATTTCAAAATTTAACCAAAATCCAGTATTGTGTATACTCTCTGGACGCTGATGATTAAACTTGGAATTGTTCGGGAAATTCTGTCAGAATTAATGTATTTTTTTATTGTTTTCAATTTTTATTCAATGATAAAAGTGTATTATGATGAAATGGCATATGTTCAAATTCCACAGCTTGATATTTTAAAAACAGTTTTGTTAGAGAGAAATGTATCCAAACAGTAAAAACGTGTCTTGGTTTAGATCTTCAAACCAAAATACTTTAGCGTATTTTGCATCTTACAACTATACCTTCATAGATTTACACTGAACTGGAGTAACTTATCTTATAGTTGGCTAGTCATTATAGTAACCATACAATCAAATTATAACTGTATAAATATTTTCAATTCTAAGGAAATACATAAAAAGTACTTAAAAATACAATCCGTTGTACATCAGGGTAGGATTTTACTTATTAATAAAAATTAAGGAACATAGTCGTGAATAAATTCTACATTATGGAAATTGCAAAACTAACCTCTACAATACTGTAGTTAACTATGCCTCTAAGGCAGCCTAAAAGCTGGTGAGAGCATGCTAGCCTACAATCTATTCTACCGAGGTTCAAAACCTACGCAGGACTATAGTAATTGGCATTGGCAGTATCGTAATGGAAATATACAGCTGCTAACTACAAGAAAGCGTTATAGGAGAGAAAATGTAATTTGACTGCAGAAGAAATTCTGTATTCGAGTAAAGAAGGAATTTATGACAGTTATGTGGTGTTGTGGAGTGTTTTTGTTAGAGTGAAAGAAACATCTTTGAAACAGGAACACAAGTAGACTCGCATTCTCCGTTATCAAAAATGCTCGGCTTGCTTCAGGTACCAGACGGTAATAACAAAACCCTATCCGTCTGTCCATCCGGTCAGTCTATAGGAAGAGAAAGAATGTTGAAGTGGAAATGTTCGGGACAGCAAAGCGGAAATGAGAATTTAAATTCTTTCTCTAATATCTCGATAGATGAAACACTCAAGAAGAAAAATTTAAGATTGGGATATATTTTAAAAATTATTGTATTTGGGACAGTTAGAACCGGGACACTTGAAAGCTGTTAGAATACTTTAAAAAATATTCTATGAAGGATTTCAAGTTTTAAACATAATCAGTTAGTTTAATGAAATTATAGAAAGAGCTTGAGTTCAACCCATAAATGTTTAGAGCTGAATTAGTTAGGCTTAGAAAAACATTCATTTGATTTCTTATTATATACAGGGTGTTTTTTTAAAAACTTGCATCTTTATTTATGTAAAAACCGCAATAGATAGAAATATGCAGTTTGCGGTAATCATCTATTGACGTAGGGGGACCAATTGTTTTGAATTCAACGTTACATTCACATTCCCCCCCTTTCCCCCCCTGCCCCCAACTTTTTTTTTTTTAATAGCTAGGTACCCCTTGTGACATATCAAATAAAAGAGCATAAAAAAAGAAAATGTTTGATGAAAAAAAATTAAAAATCGGTTCATAAATTTTTGAGATATTCCCCCCCTCACCCCCCCGGAACTTATTTTTTTTTAATAGCAAAGTAACCCTTGTGACATATCAAATGAAAGAGCATGAAAAAAGAAAATTTTTGGTGAAAAAAAATTTAAAATCGGCTCATGAATTTGTGAGATAATCACCCCCCTTTTCCCCTACCCATAACTTGTTTTTTAATAGCAAGGTACCCGCCCTTGTGACATATCAAATGAAAAATAAATTTCGCCAAAATTTTTCTTTTTTCATGCTCTTTCATTTGATATGTCACAAGGGGTACTTTGCTATTAAAAAAAAATTAAGTTCCGGGGGGGTGAGGGGGGGAATATCTCACAAATTTATAAACCGATTTTCAATTTTTTTTCATCAAACATTTTCTTTTTTTATGCTCTTTTATTTGATATGTCACAAGGGGTACCTTGCTTTTAAAAAAAATTAAGTTGGGGGCAGGGGGGGAAAGGGGGGGAATGTGAATGTAACGGTGAATTCAAAACAATTGGTCCCCCTACGTCAATAGATGATTCCCGCAAACTGCATATTTCTATCTATTGCGGTTTTTACATAAATAAAGATGCAAGTTTTAAAAAAAACACCCTGTATAAACTTGTAAATACAATGTTTGAAAACTAAACTAACTTGACCTAGACAAACACCTACATAACCTCAGTTGACTTAAATAAACTTGGGTACAAAAAATGTCACACCGGTTTGATAAACCTTTAGGAGTTAATAAAGCTATACCGTAGCTTTGGAACAAATAAAAAATAGTAGTTAATCAGAATGAAATCTACTAAATAGTTCAAATTTATTACAAAGATTGTTTAAACACCTTTCCATTACAATAGAACCAAAGTCAATTCAGCGCATGGAAGCAAGGAGGGTCAAGCGAAGGCAAAATATTTCTAGTGAGGAGGTTTTGGATAAAGGTAAAGATTTTATAATTGTGAGTTTCTTTTTTGATAATTTGTCTCAATTGTATCCTTCATTACATGTCTTTATAATGATTCCAAAATTTGTACCAGGAAATGGAAGTGAGTCACAGATCTGTTTGTATGACTAAAAAATTGGCGAAACTAATCGTGTTTGCCTGAGTGGTTTTCATTTCCGGTTTAATTAAAGGTGTACGTGTAATAGTTTAAATTACATAACATTTTGTTGTTCAGTTTACATAAGACTCAATAAGCTATGAATTTATAATTACAATTGAATTTCTGTTGAGCAATACTATACGTTGAAACTATAATTTCACCATAAAAGCTAAAAATTTCCACATGGTAAAACCTTTAATAAAACAAAGATTGCAAAGTAAAGTTCCTATGCACAGGGTGTCCCGTGATTAAACATCCAATTCCTGGGAAATGGTTTTATTGGTCAAAACACAGGAAAAATCAAGATAAACAAATTTTCCAAAAATTTCTTCTTAGCGCCATTTTTTTTGAGTACCTATTTAAAAAAAAATATCTTCAAAACTATAAAATTACTATTAATGCTATCTTTATGAAATTTGGTACTGTACAGAATTAAAAATAACAATAAACTAAAAACAAATTACTATTACAAATATTTTTTTGGTTTTGAAATGGCAGCCTTTTTAATTCTCATAACTAAAATAGAAAAAAATGGCAAATTTAATTAAAATAAATATTAAAAACACTTTTATTTAGCATATTTAAATTTCCTATCAAGTTGTACAGGCCCGGCAAAATAAGGCCCAGTTAACAGGTGCCCCTATTTGTATCTACAAATCCAGATTTTTCAGCCCATTATTATTCCATAATTTTGAGCTTTATGGCGCTCGATAGGAAATTTGAAATGCAACTTATTTTGTTCCAAGCTCTGAGAACGTTTATTATTCCTATTTTAAACCATATATCAAATTTCATAAAGATATGTTTAATAGGCTAAAGGTATTATTTTTTAATACCAATAAACAAAATCGCAAATATCTCCCAATTAATTTTTTTATTGTTATTTTTGATTATTATTTTGTTTTAATCCATAAGACAATTTCTCAGGGCTTAGCCACTTACTTACAGGACTCTGCCAATAACATGCAAAAAAAACAAAAAAAAAACGCTGTGATACAAAATGATAACTGTCAAGGTAGGATTGTTTATAGTTAGGTTTGAGATTTTAATTTAATGAATAATTTGTGATATTGTGCAAATGTTTGATAATTAATTTTTTCTATTGTTAAGGTGCAGTATTAGAACATTAGGACAATAGTAGATATGTTACACTATATCATACCGTAAATTTATGAACCAAATTTCATCAAACTGTGTCCTCCCCCTTTGCAAACGCAAAGCTTGAATATAACTGCAATGCAATAAGCATTTTATACTTATATGCCAACCCCGTACAAAGGACGGGTGCTCCGCTAGTATATATATATAAAATACATAGTATATATATATATATACATATATAAAAATTTTAACGAATGGTGTTTTTGGCCTCTGGGGACATCAAAATGAAAAAGTAAATCGGTCCCGGGCCTAGGTCTTACCATGCCCCCTACGATAATAGCTACTTCCCTATAGGGAAACTCGCTAAAAGAGCAGATGTACGGAAAAACATTATACCCCCCCTCGAATCACATCACAAAAAGTAAATCTTCTGCACACACAATGGTTACAATTCCGGTCCTAGAAGGAAGACTACACTGACAGGGGGTACAATCCTGGTTTGTACAGTTTTTTTAGATACCTGTAGAATTTATCGAATCACTTGTGCATAACAAAATCAAAGTTTTATGAGGGGGTACAATTCCAGGCCATACACGCTGTTTTGGTCAAGAAAATGAGACGTCATCGTGACGTCACTAACCTGCGTACAATTCCAGGGCGCTAAAATTCCGCTACCCAAAAAAAGAACTGAAATTGACAGAATACAAAAACATAATACTCAGAACAAATACAGATTGGCAGTAGTAAAATAACAAACTAAAAAAACACACAAATTCCAAACTCTTACCAAGCCATATTTTATTCATTGCCTTCTATCAACTTTTGGACTAATAAATAACAGTTATCCAACCCCAGGTTTTTAAATACAGGTTTGTCAAAGCTCGGTGGGCTTAGTGATAAAATAAAACATATAATTTCTTTGGGTATATTTCTTCTATAAGAGTTATTAAGAGCATATTAAGAGCTATTTCTATAACAGCCTATTTATTGTTTATGCTAAAAATACTCAAATGGGTTTAATACAATTTGCCAATAGTTTTTGCTATTTGGGAATAAGAATAGCCTCATCAAATAAAAGGCCGCGGCAAGACAAAAGTGGCAACACTGCAGTCCCGACCCACAAAAACAGCTGTACCACTAATTCATATGGAGCAGCTGTGCAATGATAATGCTTACACGTTTGTTATTACTATGGGTGCCGCGTTTCCACATTGTTTGCCGTGGCCTTGTGTTAGAAGAGGCCATGAAGTTGGTTGTTTAATGCTGCATGCAATATTGTAAAGAATCAAGGTACCTAATGCCACTTACTTCTTAGTCAACATGTAAGGAAGTTTCAGGTTTCTAAAGATAATCTCAATTTTAATTAGGATTAATAAGGATTAGCATTAAAAAGGAAATACCCTCAGCAGGGTTGTTCAGGATGATTGTTAACAGTTGTTTCCCACGTACTGAAATTATAAGCTTAACTAACTAATTCCAAAAGAATCATTTCTAAGGTTAAAAGGTTCAATTGTTTCTATCTGCCATGTAAGCTAAGAAAGAATATGTGTAAGGGAAAAACCTACATAAAATAAATTTTTTTTAATTGATGAGAGATCGTTGAATGTTAAAAACTCACTTGTGATTGTTAACAATCAAACCTTGACAAAGTTTAAGACAATTGAGAGAATCATACTACGGGAGTCTGGAGTACTATAAACTGGAAACGGAAACATTACTGTGGTGGTAAACTAATCTTACCTAACTGTCACAGCATACTGTATGTACACAGGTACTTCGGTATAAGTAGAGCTGAGAGTTGAATATGTTCCTAGACATTATGTATAAGTCAAACTAGCCTATGAGTTTAAAAAGTTCACGCTTCGATCAATTTACTGAAGTTTTTATCCTGATGGACCATTGACTTTCTTAATTGTGACTTGAAATATAAATAGTTGTGGAACTATACATGACAGGATTATTTGCTGGCTAGGAAGATTTAAGAAGATTGGCAAAGACCTAATATCCTTTACAAGTATCTCCAGATTTCGATACTACATTTGCCATCCAATCACTACCAGGTGTCAGAATGTAATTTAAATCACAAAAGTTTTTGTATAAAATTCACAGATATACAAAAGTTTGCAGTAATAATTAATTATATTTGGTCAAATGTTTTATATAAGACTCAATCGTATTAATTATTATTTTAAAACCTCGGTGTACTAGAAACCTTTGTAGGATGTAAGTAAAACATCATAGTTTAAAAAATATTCTATAAAAAGAAAATTGTAAAGGACCGATATATGAAAGTTTTTAGTACAAGAATTTTATCTTATCTGAAAGCCTTTGAAATAAGGGGGATTAATCTGGGATTATCAAAACAGATGTCAAAATATTTGTTTCAATTGTTGGTTTAAAATTATTAGAGCAATGCTAATAAATATATTTTTGGAACTAGTTAAAGGATTCAGTCTATTTTGCATCTGGTATTTCAACAATATAGAGGCCTGTAAAAGTATACACACACAATGGTTTCAACTCAACAGAAAAATAATGGTAATACAAAGTCTTTTTAAAAGATTACCAATATAATTTGTTGTGCTAAATCCTATTTTCTAAGTCTAAACCTTTATCCAAAAACTAGGTAGAAGGAGAGCAACAGAAAAGAACGTAAAATGATAAGAAAACTCAAGACGAGTTAGGAAAGAGTTAACACTACCTGTGGGCGGAGTGAGACTAACCTTAGGCAGAGGGAGAAGTTTTTGTGCACTACGACTGACCTGTAGCACAGGGCCATGAGGGCAAAAGTTATAAACACCCCCCCCACCACGGACATTAGAGTACCTACAAGGAATACTGTGTTGGTGCTGTGGTAGTTCTCTGTTGTTGTTAATGACGGATTACGGTAATGAGAGTTGCATATTAAGTTTGGTGAGATTACATGCATATGACATGCAGACGTGGAGGTTATTTATGATTTGTTTGAGTGTTAGAAAATATTAAATATATCCAGTAATATACAGAAAAATTGATCATTAAAAAGGAGAAAAGTTAGATACAGAGAAAAGTTTATAGAATGAAAGCCATTAATTATAGCAGTGAATGAGTTGTATGAAAATGTGTGATAGGTGTTGATGAACACAGCGTTTTATATATCGTTTAGAGGGTTGGGAGAGTAACATTACATCAGACGTAGAGAGCAAACACCATATTGGAACGGTTACCCATCGATGCGAAGTGATGTCCACCCATGCACAGACATAAAAATTGGGAAAAGACGAAGCAAAAATGAGAAAACAAATCAAACATCAGAAGTGCGGATCGGTTGTAGGGCAGAAGGGGATTAGAAGAATAAAGCGAACGGAGGATAAAATCATCAGCAGTCTAGCTGAGCATAACCGCCGCCTTCACGCACATTTAAACAGTAAACACACCAGAACCAGTAAAATACTGAAAAATACACAAATATTATCGTATATACAATAAATTACACTAAAGCTACTGCAGGATGATTGTATTTACAGTGCCTGAACCTTAATAGAGACCTAAAATAAAGTAACGTTTCCAATGAAAACCAATAATATATAACAGGTGCGGTAAACAAAATCTTTTTTTAGGTCGAGTATACAATATAAAATTAAGCAATGGAAAATATATACAGTAAGGTGCAGTGATAAATAAGCGAAACTAGAGTAGAAAACTATAAAATCATCAAAATGTGTCATTTATTGATGGTGACACTTAAAAATGTACTCAATCACATAAATAAATTTTTTACAACAAAAAATAACACTCCACTCAAGTCAGGCTGGCCGCGTCGAGTGACGTAAAATAAACATGTGAGGGGAAGTGAGGTGTTATACTCGTGAACAACTTTGGTACAAAATGAATGCTGCAAATTGGAAATAAAATATGTAAAATCAATTCGAACATAAAATACGACACGGAACATACACTGCACACGTACACATATTACAACAAAACACAGAGGCAGAGCAGAATACAAACGCACGCACACACACACGCACACAACAGTCGCGAACCTGAAGCAGACGGCAATAAGAGCAAAGCTTATGAAGACCGCCTTCACCACTCCAACCATAATGAAGACCATAGTCAAAGTGCTTAGGTTATCCGTACTGCGGCCTGGAAACAACACCAATGGTAAATAATGAGTGGACATTGAATGGCACCAACCACAACACAACATTCAGTTAGTGTTGCATTAGATACAGGAGATTACGCTGTTTTTGAACAAAAGTGATACTTTACATCAGATCTGTGTACTGCTGATATTCAACAAAAGTATACTGTATGATTCATTTAGAGGAACAATTTTTGTGATTTCTATTGACCTCGCCCATTGAGAATAGAGAGGCATATTTCAAAAATCTTAAAAGATATTATGTTAATTTCTGTTTCATGATATTTTTAATTATTAAGACAGTGACAGTATATCAGGAAAAATCATAGTAAATTGATAATTTTTAAAACAAAAAACAACATTATATAAAGTCCACTCAGTATTTACCAATCACACTCAAAAAATAAGTTGGGTTGATTCTACAAAGTAGTTTATAGTTAAAAAAATTAAAATGGTGGGTCTTCTTATTTCTAAAATAAAGCCTTCTCAAAATAAAAACAAGAACCCAAACCGAAAGTATTGGTGTTGCCGTAAGAAAGGAGCATCCTCTAATGCCAGTGACAAATGAACGACTCAGAGAGTGTTGATGTTGTTCATGGAGCAGGGTAGAAGAGGAGATGATTATGGACACTTTGCTTTAATACTTACTACAAATATTTTTATGATTAAGACACAATTATATTCTTTTAAATTAAATTCCAAGAGAGGTGCTTTATTGTAATATCTTGGTTAACTACATTCTGCAGCTACACAAAGAAAATTGGTTGATTGTTACCCCTGTCCACTATATTTAAAAAAGGAGCAAAAGACTGATGAATAATGTTTTTTAGCTTCTAAGTTCTTTTCAAGTAAATGAGTCGGACAATTTTTGGAAGTGTTGGTGAAATCATTTACTGAATTAATAAACTGAAGAAGTAGTCGTTTAACATATATAATTAATGATTGATTTTCATGTTTGAAAACATAGATTTAAGTATATCCAAACAAAACAGTTTTGATATCAAACAGTAAAGTACAGCGGGTATGAATAGACTTAACAACATCTATCAAATGACAGTGCATGATCTATTAAAAAATGTGCGGCCAATAAATTGGCTACACTCTGAACTGGAATATTATTACCTGTAGGAATATCACATATGGTTGTGATTCTTCTGCCATTGTAAGGTCCACTTGAACCTACTTGTGATAATATTGAGGTCGCAAATTTAATCTAGATCTCGATCGACGTCCACTGGTCGTCTTATGGGTACAGTAAAGTCTCGATCATCAAACATAAACCGCTTGCCGCAAGGTCGCTTAGCACGGATATTAAGTAACGTTATACTAAACACAAAAAATAAAACACATGTTCAAAAAAAGATACCTGTCCACCCAGCCACAGGTCTCAGTTCAGACTACGACGTGACAGGTAAAGAAGGTAGAATAAGTTGACAAGCTATATTATATGCAGCGTGCCAAAACAATCAGAAAGCACGGTCCAGTGCAGTTACCTATTTGCATCTTCCGAGTACACATGGCGACGGAAAATAAGCTGTCTGAAAGCACCTGCTTCTGTGTACATTTTTATTTCATAGAAATTATAGCATACGATTTCAAAGTAGACTACTTTATCGTATGCACAGAGGGTCAGACAATTCAAAAGGTTGGGTAACCAAAGATCGGATAATCGAGACTCTACTGTAAATGTGTTGTGTTTTAAGAAGAACATTATTCTGCAAGACCTTGGATTTTATAACATCACAATAACTCACATTAACTCCATTAAACTCATAACTACACCATATTTTGAATAGAGAAACGATTCAGGCACTGTGAATATATGGGTTTAGTTTCTCAATGCTTAGCTTGACTCCTGATTTAACAAAACTTACAGATTCTAGTAGGCCTAATGAGAATTACTTAACAATGTAAATGATAAAATCTTAATGAATTATTTAACATGCTCTTAAACATTTAAAAATATTAATTAACACTGAACCATTGAAAACTGCTGTTGAATTATGATTTTTATTTTACACTCAACATAAAATGAACATTTTATGCTGTCTCAGATAACGATATTAAGAATCTCAAGCCTTCGGAAATGAAAAATCACAATGTCAAGGAAGACATGAAAAAGACAATAATTTATCTTTAGTTTCTTCTCAACAGAGGTGACCATTCTCCCCCAAGGTTATGAGCGCTTGTCCTCCTCCTATTTAAAAAAAAAATATTTGACCTGCCTCTTTCCCATATAGAATAAAAAACACTCAAGGATTTGTTTTTATTAAATAAAAAAACCCAACTAAGTATCCCTACCAAATGCTTATTAGGAACAGCTGTTTTCCATTACAAAATTATGGAGTCCATTAAACAGTCACGATATTTATCAAAATTGTTGGTATCGTGCTTGCAAGGTATTGTGCAATTTCACATATTATTATTGTCCTCTGCATTTATATTTATTCCATTAACTGGATTCCATTAAAGTATGTTCTTTAAATACTAAACTATTAAACATTGAATTTTAGTAATTTTTCCTGTCCAAAAAAGATCATCAATTAGTTTTTACATTCGCAACCATATTCTGGTAGGACTTTACATAATAACATTTAGAACACAGGCCGTACCGTAGGGGGTCTCTTTCTTCTGCATCTGATCCGTGAGGTCGTCGTTCTTGCTGGTGACGTGAGCTGCTTCGTTGAACGGCTCCAGAGTCGGAATGATCTCCACCTGAATGGAACAGTCCGTCCCGCTCCAGCCTTGGTGGCAGTAGCACTTGTTGAGGTTGGAACACGTCTGCGGAAATGTCAATCGTCAGTCATTGTTGCCCGTATGAAACTATTATTGTAGTATATGAACATGAGATTGAGTTTGTGAGAGTCACACATACGTGATGTTTCGAGTGCTAGCATAGACCACACTGTAGAGTTAGTGTCTAGTCTATCAGTCAGCACCAAAACGAAGAATTTTCAATGTTCATTTGAACATTTTTTAAAGGCAGTAATTTTTAAATTGAATTAGTTTGATTAGACAATTTTTGGAAACATAACTTAGTAAAAAAAAAAAACTTACTGTGTATACATAAAAATATCTCCAAGAAGCTTTGAATTATTAGTTATTAAAAAAATTACAAAATGGAGGACTACGGCAAAATTGTGAAAAAATCGAATTAAAAGGTTACATATTGTTACTTATTTTAGTGACACCCTTTATAAGAAGGAAGGCAGATCAAATGAGCAAAATAGTTCAACAAAAACTCACCCCATGTCCCGAACACTCCAAGTTGTTGTGATTGCTTGGACACCTTCCTTGGTCAATGTGTGGAAATATACTCGTACATGACTGGTTCACACAGATCTGGAAAGATTCTCAGACTAGTTTTTGTACCCAAGACTGTATTTGAAGAAGTAATTGTATTTTAAAGATAAACATTAAAACTTGAACACATTTAAAACAACAACACTATACTCCGTTCACAAAATTCAGGCAGTTTGAGGGGAAGCAATTCATTTCCCCTTCACTTCACCCTAACTTTGATACAACAGCCGGCCAGCTAAAATATGCATTAAGTGAAGAAAAGTGTAGTGGAAACCTTCTCCTTAAACCAAGTAAGTTTTTTGAACGGACTATAATGAAAAAAATACACCGATCAACCTTTTCAATTAAACTGTAAATATTTACATACAAAATTAAGATTGATTTTTATGAAACGAAATAGCAAAACTCCTGGAACTGGAAGTTCACAGATACAATTTAAAAATATATTTCTAGATGTCATCAAGTGAAATTACCAAGTTATCGCCACAAGGTGTGCCGTCCCTCACAAGACCCATGTCTGGCAAGTCTGTGTTGCTGATGGTTCCACTGGTAGTCCTGAAAAAATGTGTTTGTGTTTCAGACAATAACAATTTTACTTAATAAATAAATAAAAGGTTAAAATACCTGATTGTCGGCTTGTGGTCCAAAGTATTTGTCCTAATGAATTAAGTACATTTTAGCCCGAGTGCCATCGTCGGATCCGTATAAGAACTAATAACTAAACTTCCCTGAAGAGGTGCGTAGAAAGTTAAAAAAAAAAACATGACCGCCGGTCGATCGTTAGTTAAAATAGTTTTTACTTTTTGCTGTGAGTGAACGGGCAGGATATGGAGGCGCGTCAGACGTGTGTCGAGACTCGACTGAAGACGGGAGTTGGTCGTGATCTGACCTTTGTCCTGGTGACGCAGCTAGTGCAGCATTGTTTCGGCTATTGTTTAGTTGTATTAAGCTTTCAAAAAGAATGTTGGATTGCAGGGTGTTTTTGTTGTGTAACAGAATGTTTGTGTCAATTTTTAGAGGCTCTGTAAATTTTGAATTGTTCCAATGACGTAATTTTTTGGTCTTTTTGGAAAATATGTAAGGGCTGCAAATTTTTTGTTACATCTGTATCTGTATCTGTAACTATGGTTACTGGCTACTAAATGGTTGGCAACGTTTGGTTTTTGAACGATGGTTTTCTTGGGAAGATGTTCTTTAAATCTTTTTACAAAGGGCCTTCCAGTTTGTCCAATGTAAAATTTATCACAGTCAACACTAGTTATTTTATAAAATCCTGTTTTTTGACAAACATCCTGTGGTGTATGTTTTACGGAAAGGAGATTTTTGAGTTTGTTAGATGTTTTGAAGGCTACAATTTTGCCATGATTTTCATTTGGTTTTTCAGTGTATGGGAGAGGTTGGTTCCAAATTCAACTGATACATACTTCATTCGGTCTTTATTGTTATCAGCGTCAGTAATGGCTTTTTTCTTTATTATTTGTTTGTTGGCCAATTTATTGATCAATTTAGCGCTATATCCATTTGAGACGGCAATGTATTTAATGATGTTCATATCTTTTTCATAATATTTATGGTTTAAGGAGACAGTGAGCATTCTATGAATGAAACTATTGTATGCTACTATATTGTGTTGGAAGGGGTGATGGGAAGTTTCATGGTGGTATCAGTGGCTGTAGGTTTCCTGTAGATGTTGAATGCAATCTTATCTTTTGTTTTTGTTAAAAAGTGTTACATCTAGGAAATTCAGTTTCTCGTTTTCTTCAAATTTTATTGTAAATTTGAGTTGTGGATGAATGCTGCTTAAATAATTGTTGAATAATTGTTGCTGGATTTGTCTATTAATTGTTGCCATTATACATGATGATGATGATATTGTCGACATATCTATGGTAGAATATGATATAGTTCTTGTACCTGTTGGTATTAAAAATGTGGTTCCGATTCTACTATAAACTGAAACTGTCCCTAGTCGCCATTAGCTGTATGGGCTATTAATTAACAGCTGTGTCTAAGGAATGTCGGCCTTAGTCACTAACAAGACTACAAGATCGCGCCACTCATCTACATTCATACTTGGCTTAAAATACCTACTTTGTATGATCGCCATTTAATAAGAAAGTATTAAAGTATTGTCTGTCCATAAATGCTGATTCTCCATTTCATTCAGGAATATTTCGGCTAAAATTTCTGATAAAGGTGACCCTATGGCGATTGGCGAGTCATTCTTTTTGTGCAAAACATTCATTATTGAAACTGAAATAATTTTGTTGGAGTATTGATCTCAATGAAAGCATAAATTTGTTTATTTCATCTTGGTTCAAATTAGATTTTTCTGTAGTATTTTTAAAGTTTCTTGAACAGGTATAGGCCTAGTATATAGGTTGTATATAGGTTGTAGTATATAGGTTGGAGATATCTAAAGAGGCGTGAGTGTGTCTGTCATTTGGTTTTTATGTCTTTGATTCTATTTATATTGATACTATTTTTTAGGCTGTGGCTATTATCAAATGTGACATTCATTTTCACAATTTTTTCTAACCTTTTTGCTAGTTTGTAAGCAGGGGCCGGCATGTAGTTTACTAATGGTCCCATAGGCTGTCCGTTTTCATGTAATATAGGCAAACCTTTCAGATGTTGGGCGTGAGGATTTATGGGTTTGAATTCTCTGATTTCTCTTTCGCTCAATATATATTTGCTGCTTGACAAAACTGTATTAACTTCTTTAACATACTTGACTGTGGGATCATGTGGAGGTTTTTCTAGCCTATTTGACTATTGCTAATAAACTCATGTACTTTTTAAAACGTTTTTATTAGCTCGCTTTCTTGTCTGGTACAAACTTTGCAATCAATTTTATACTAACTTCCCGATGAGCTAGACTTTAAACTTGAAACATAGTTTACAAATGGAAGACAATGCAATATTATATCATTTCATTTTCATATTTCCCTTGGGCTACGCCCCATGGGATTGTTTTTTGTTTTTGTTAGCACGCTTTCCTACAAATTTTGATATCAATTTTAAACGAAGTTCCCGATGAGCTAGAGACTTGAAATTTGAAACAAAGCTCACAAATGGATGACAATGCAATATTATATCATTTAATTTTCATACTTCCCTTGGGCTACGGCCCATGGGCTTCCAAATTTTCCATGTTTACATTTTGAAAGAATGTAAATATATCAATTAATTTAAGTCAGCTTTAAATACTTAAATTTGACAGTTCGAAGACGAGAGGTTAAGAGGTAAAGGTTAGTCTATGTTTATATTTAGTAGGTAGGCCATACATTCAATCTAATACATAATTATATGAAAAGAAACTCAAATAATCCTTAGATTTCCCACATGCCTCTGTCTTAATCTGATATAGATGCTTGAAATAGATTTAACATCCACACACATTAAAAACTAAAAAGTAGAAAATAATTTATAAATAAAAAACTTTTTTTAAAACAATTTGTTTTTAAACGCACTTAAAAGTAGAAAATAATTTTTAAATATGTTGAGAGTATAAATACTTGTAAGATTGAAAACGAAAAACGTGGGGTGCATGCAATTGATAATAATACATTAGTTCAATAGGTTAAGGTAATTGTTTATCTATTGCATGCACCCCACGTTTTTCGTTTTATATCTTACAAGTATTTATACTTTCCACATATTTAAAAATTATTTTCTACTTTTTAGTGTGTTTTAAAACTTTTTGTTTTAAAAAAAGTTTTTTATTTATAAATTATTTATTACATTCATCATGGTTCATTATGATGCCTGACGAGTGTGCTACCTTTGTCTGCCTTAGTAATAACTAGGATGTTCATGTTAAGTTTTTCACAAATAGTTTTCAATATTTTGGCCTCTTTATTGTGTAGACTATCTAATTTTGGGCTGGATTGTATTTTTTATTAACTTCTTGAGTTTGTTATTTACCATGACTCTTACTGTGTTTTGTTCATTTGTCAAGGTTTGTATTGTTGCATCTGAGTTAATAATTTCTAAAAAAACACCCTTGCAGCCATGTCGGGGTAGCTTGTAGGAGTTGATGGTTGTATTTAAGTCCTTTGTTTGATAGTTCCTTTTCATCTGAATCAAAAACTATGTTTGTTAGGTTTATGGTTTTGGGGGTAGAAATTGTGGGAGGTTTTAATCATGTCGAAACTGTGTTCAGTATTTAGTAGGCTATCAAGCTTATTCATTCTTTAAAGGTTTGTTTTTGTTTTGGATAACTATATCTATCTGTGATTCTATTTTTTTTATTTGATTTGGGTGAACTAGATTTAGCATGTCGATTTGGGATCTGCCAGTAATTTGTTGACCATTGATTTTTGCCTGTACTGTTGTTTTATTTTGTTCTTTAACCAAAATTTCTCTGCTATTGATTTAGCTTTTTTTGCTGATACTGATGTGTTATTTATTTTTAAGGAAATGCACTTTGGAATGACATTGTTTTAGATGCAATCTTTATTAAATGTAATGTTTTGGGTTGTTTTACAAATTTGTAGTTTGAAGTTCTTATACTTGTAAACACCTTGTGCTTGGCCGGCTGCACAAGGTGCCCAGCCGTATATTTACTACACCATGGCTTTATAATATTTACGACATTAGGCCTATAAAGGGAAATGCATGTTGAATGAGCAATGTGTTTATTTTGATAACCAATTACTCCAAATCCGGAACTTAATTATTTTAACGCACTGTGATAGTATTTAAATATTTTTATCAACACTGTTACGATAATCTAAGTATTTGAAGTTCATTAATTCCCCAGTACAACAATTACAAAGGCCAAAATTAAATCCAAGATGTAGCCTAATTAGGCCCACTAGAGTAGCTCTAAAAACTACTTTACTTTTCTCAACTAACAGGTTACATTTAACCTACAAATTTTCATCATACGTTGACATTACAGCATAAGTCATAAAAAAAGAGAAATGAGGAAAAATTAAAATAATGACTCAGAACCATTTCATCACAAAACCTTATCTTGGAGGGTTTCTCGTATTTATTTACCTTCCCTGAGTCGTTTCGGTCCCTCAGCTTATTACTACGGCAGCAATGTGGCGGCAAAGATAAATAGGGTATATTATTCATGTGACAATGACTAGGGAATAAGCTTAGGGTTGCATTGGTTAACCTCAATAGGAAAAGGTCATTCAAACTAAAAGATATAACCTCTCGCCTTTGGTCACAACTAAATCTTTTAGCCTAGTATAAAGTTTTTATTTATAAAATAAAAATGTTAAAATAAAATAAAAGCCTAAATATAGGCTTTGTGACTTTATGACAACTAGATAATAAATCAACAAAAGACAACTAACCTGAATATAAATATAATATTTAGACACAGTTAAATACTAGTTTAACTTTTTTTCAATTTAATTACTCACTTGCACTCGTACTCATTTCCTTTCATTGAAATGATTGTTCGGGAGTAAAGCTCGTCCAGCCCAGGGATCTTAGGTCGGGCTGAACCCAACTGGCATTGCAAAGAGCCACACCGGACATTCCTAGGAAGAGACAAATAATGAGAAAGTTTTACAATTAATTAAACTTGTATATTTTCATTACGACTAGTTAACTTTAAAAAAAAATTAAAAACACAAAAACTATGAACTGTGTACAGTTTCTATAGGTTTCTCAAGAAATAATACAGGGAATAATAAATTAACAAAGCCATTAAAAACCAACCAAGTTGCTGGTAATTGTAGCATAGCTACATGTAACATTAGCTTATTATCCATACCAGTGGTATAGTGGAACATGTGATGGAACACCTGGGAACGGCATTCCCACTATGCTTTAAGGAAAATCTAGTATTTATTAATAAACGGCCAGTGTTTCTTGGTGGTAAACGTTTCCGCACAGGAAAATTTACGACTACACCACTGATTACGACCGATTACAGATATTTAATGAAAAAACCGTAAATATAGCTTCTTAGGTACTAACCTCAATCTAACTTTTTCATGTAATTTTCCAATATCTATATATTAGTAGGCAAGCATGCTTATTTAACCCTTTTTTCTCAGCTCGTGTGCATGGCAGGGAAAATCTACGCACAATGTTGTTGCCATGCTGGTGATGGAAACAATGAAATATAAACAGAAAATTAAAACCCAATGGAAGAAATTCCAATGACATGTTTTATTTACACTACAGCGTGGGGTGAAAATAGGATAGTCTGTACATTACATATTTTCAGTCGAGTTTTCGACCACTAGACTTGTATAATAGCTAATATAGCCTTGATATAGAAAAATGTAGGTTTTTCTTTATACATACTCAGGATCACATTTGATGAATTGCTTGTTTTCGTCAGTACCACAGTGTCCATTGATAGAGCCCTTAGAGTTAAACTGCTTGAAACACTCTGGGTCCCCTCCTTGTCCACCTGTCAACAAATTAAATTAGGCCTATATTAAAAGTTTGCTTACAGTTGGCTATGACTAGTATGAATTATGTAAGTTATTCAGGTCACGAAGGGGAGGAAGTCTTTTTAGGAAACATCAGTTGTCTTTAATGAATATACTCGTAACTTACAATAAATAAATCACAGAGGATACGCATTCGGTAACCAGACGTGGATTAGGCGTCCGGTAGTGACGTCACCGGGTTGTGGGGTCCCGGAACACCATTACCACAACGATACGATGTTCGGCCAGCGTTGTTCGTGGTGTAGTGGATAGAGTGCTCGGCTGATATCCAAGAGGTCCCTGACCAAGAGGAACTTTTTGTCACAGATTTTGCTTTGAATGTAAATTCTTCTTAACTGTACATCTTTTGTTACAATTTTTGGCATTTATAATTTTATGTTATGAAGAGAATTGAACCTTCATTTGATTTTTTTCATTATCAGCAAGTTTGTTTGGTTAGGTTAGGTTATGACAGTAACTAGTCAGTAGTGAGTCGGTGGCTCAGTCGGTAGCGTCGCGGACTTCGGGCCCAAGGCAGCGATGTCGTGGGTTCGGATCCTGGTCACTGCCGATAACATTTTATCAGTACAGTTCACCTTTGTACTGTACAGCCTCACTCCTTGCTTTGCTGTAAACGATCCACGCACGGGCGCTTTGTCTATGTGGACGGGCAAATGCAAGGTTAAAAGAGGCCGCCAACCTCGCCAACCTCTTTTTTATAAAAAAAAAACAAAAACTGCCGGACGCCTAATCCACGTCCTGTTACCGGACGCGTATCCTCTGCGTAAATAAATAGAGTATGGCACTAATATGGGACTTTATATAATAGAATTATCAATTTAATTGTGGGTGAAGAACAATTTAGCAATTGAAATGTATAGGGATTCCACGCAAGAGACACTACATTAGATATTAGCAACCCTTCTTTGAATTGAAAGTTTTGAATGGCAGCTTGTTCACAAACTGATGCCATGGGTCCTATCAAAAATTTGTGCGTGGCATCAATTTGTTGGGATGTAAGAACTCTTCTTCTATAAGTTGTCACCTGTTGGTTTCTACACTTCAGGTTAAAGTGTAAGAAAGGCCATGTGGGACTAGCTTTGCCTGGATAAATAAAGAATTTTTAATTTTAATTTAATTTAATTTATAACTTACTTGAGCAGAACAAGTCTAATTTGTAAATGTTGTAGCCTACTTTTGGCGTTTTAACCTTCATAGGTGTCATAAAATAGATTTCTTTTAGGCAAAGTAATTTGTATAGAAAAACCCCTTATCACTCCAAGTGTCTCTAGTTTTGGTCTTAATGTTCGCCCATTTATTGCGCAATCGCAGGGGTTTATTAAAATGTATCTTAGAAACTTAAAAACAATGTAAAGTATACTGTTTTATATATCATTTTGTTTGGAAAATTATGGGCTTCAATGTAACATATAAAACATTACAAAAAAAATGTTCACCAATTATTGTGGGGTTAACATATCTCAAAAATTATAAAATAAATGAAAAAAAGTTATGTTTGCGCTCAATAAGTTGTTATAATTTATAGGTCTACAAATATTTTAAAATAGCCACTTTGTTCAGACTTTTTTGAGGATTCCAAAAATATAATAATATAAGGAAGTAGGTTTGCAAATAAATAAGTTATGGGCAAAAAACAGATTTCGGTAGGCCTACATAGCGTTTAGCTAAGAATGCATAGCCTAGGAACCATAGCTAGGAATCTGGGCTGATATTTACATCAATATCACTACCTACTTCTTCGGGATCATCAACCAGCCCTTCAAAATCACTTAAATCTTCTTATAATGCACCATGTATATCACTACTTTTGATTTTTAACACTAAAAAACAAAGATAAACGTAATAAAACACATCAGTCATCGGTGCGAGGTTAACCAAGCTGTTTACAAATTACGCACGTCAGCTGCCTGCTACAATATTTTCGGAACTAAAATGAAAAGCGTATAGAACTAAAAATTATGGTCTCAAAACTCATAAACCACACTAAAAAAGTTGGCTTAAATATCAATGTAGACAAAACCAAGATAATGGAATGTGGAAGAGCTATCCAATTAAATAATAAAAATCATGTAGAAATAGAAGGACACAAATTTTATAAAGTAAACAATTTCTCTTACCTAGGAGTAATGCTGACGAATAATAATGAGGAAGACTCTGAAATTCAGCAAAGATTAAATGCAGCTCATAAAAGTTTATCGGCATGCCACAAATTGTTGAGTTCTCGCCTACTCTCACAGAAAACTAAAATCCGTATATACAAAACTATAATAAGACCAGTATTACTATATGGCTCAGAGAATTGGGTGATAAGCAAGAGAACTGAGAAACGACTTATAGTGTTCGAAAACAAGATTCTAAGGAAAATCTTTGGACCAACCTTTGAAAACGGAGAATGGAGAGTTAAGCACAACAGGGAGTTGAGAGAGTTGTACAGGGACCCAGATATTGTGGCTGAGGTGAGAAGTAGGAGATTGAGATGGGCAGGCCATGTGTTAAGAAAGGAAGAGGGATCCTTAGTGAGAAACGCCCTAAACAACAATCCTGAGGGTAGAAGGCCTCCTGGAAGGCCCAAGTTGAGGTGGAGAGATCAAGTGAGAAGAGATCTGAGAAGAATGGGAAGAAGAGAGGATGAAGCAATGGATCGTGCAGTCTGGAGGCAGTGTGTTGGCGAGGCAAAGTACCTCCTTGGGTACCAAGAGCCACGGCAGTAAGTAAGTAAGTAAGTGAAAAGCGTATAGAGACAGACATCAGGAGAAAGCTCTGAATCTGCTGAAAAAAAAACTATACCTAACTCGATCCAGTTCAATCCGATTCAGTCAGTCCCAGAGCCGTCGCCGTAAACAGTGTTTGTGAGTCGCAAAAGCGACACATAACACTACAGCGGATGTGTTATGAGTCGCTTTTACGACACATAACACTCGGAGGGTTAAGCGTTATCTCCGATCGGCAGTTTCAAGATTAACAGGACCTTACAGACCTCTTTCTAAGAACCTATTGAACATCATTACACTCTCACCCCTCCCCCGTACTACCCTTATTAATCAGTTAAAGCATGAAGAGTCACATAAGTTAGTTTCCGTGTGTCACCAGCTGAGCACCTTTGCACCCAGATTCCTGGAGTGTAACCTAGTTCCATGTGTCACTTATGGTGTTAATGTTTTAGTTTTGTTGCTATAATGACTTAGATAATAAATAATATTAACTTAAAATATAAGTTAAAAGTATTAGTTACTATAGGCTACTGGGCTGCACTTTACTTGACGTCCTACACTCATTCGATTGTTTTTTCGATTCGATAATTTCATTCGATTGTTTCATTCGATATATTGTTTGGTTAGTTAGGTTAGGTTAACCTTACCTAACTAACCAAACGATATATCGAATGAAGCAATCGATTGATCGATATATCGATCGATATTTTCATTTGAATGAGTGTAGGACGTCAAGTAAAGTGCAGCCGGCTACTGTTGTAAAAATGTCAAGTAGGCTACTTATCCTGATAATTAGATCAATTCGTAAATTAACTTACAAGGCAAAAATGTGGTGTGGATTTGGGGATTCCACTATAAAAACTATATGTCCCTCTGTTGCCATTGGCTTTATGGGCTATTTAACAGATGTGTCTAAGGAACATGGCCTTAATCGTGCCATTCATCTCCATTCATACTTGGATTAAAATACCTACATTCGTAAGGTCGCCATTTCCGAATAAAGTTACTTAAGTTAACTTTTTACAAGTAATTAACGTAGGCCTACTTATCTACCCTTAGCCTAACATCATCCTAGTCCATATAAGTTAACTTATCAATGAGATAGTTGTAATGTAATGCCAATAAAGAAGAATTATAGCTCCCTCTCAGTTGAAGATACATAGTTTGGGAAATGCATTCGTTTGTTCATGTTTGTGGTAGGCCTAGCCCTATCCAAAGGTAAGATGAGGCATGGTGTAGGCTATTAACTTTTGTTAGCTTTTGAATTAATAAATTGAGGCTTAATTATTTAGGTTTAATCGTGGTTTAATTCATCAACTTAACCTAAATAATGGAGAAACCGTTGGAATAAATAAATCATTAGTTTACCTTGCTTCGTTGATTGTTCCTTTTTTTACAATATTAACTTACATTAATATTTGTTTTTCATATTTTTATCGTGTGTTTGTATTTTGTAAGTTTCAATTTTTCGTATGTGCTTTTTTACTGTTTGTTTACCTCTTTCACCTATCTTAAATTGCAGACGAAATGATACAAAGAAAGATAAGTCGGATTTTTTTTTGACATGTAATAGTCTTAAATTATGAAGTATTAAAAGATGGTACCATTGATTAATTATAGCATTTCTCCAAATATAACCATACTTTTGAAAATACACTAAGAGGATATAGTTTAGAAATTCATGTAAATAGACGACACCTAAATTATTAATTGATTTCTTCCAAATTATTTTACTCACCATCGATCAAAACCAAAACATTACTGATTTGCTCGTTAAAAACTTAGTTATTTATAAAATATTTTTGTCCTAAGCAAACCAAGTAGATAGAGGAAGTGTTTGTGTGAGATAGTTATTAAAAAGTGACTTATCTTTCCCTTTTGCCTGCTTAAGAGAGCTTACTATACAACTATAATACTGAATGAAAAATCGTAAATTTTGATGTTTTGTAACTATTTTTGTTCAGCAATTTTGGGTTACTCTTACTCAGATTATATCATGGTCACTTAATTAGTATTTTTTTTAGATTTGACAAAACAAGTTTATTTTTATGGTATAGCCTCTGGATCAATGATTTTTACAATAAAAGGTTTAAATTACCTGTATCCGTCAAGTGTTTTTTTTTGTGGTTTGTAGTTTGTTGACTACAGCTGTTTCATGTTAATGTTAACACATCTTCAGGTCAAATTGTTGCATTGATTTATTCCATAAATCATAAATCATGACGACCAATCTATGATTTTTACTTTCTCCCCCTATACCATAGTATATGGAGAAAGTATTGTTTTCGTCAAAATTTTCGAGTTTGAGTTTTGAGTGGATATATTCGTTTTGGGTCCCCCTGGACCCAAAAAAGTGGTTTTTGAAGTGATGTCTGAGTGTGTGTGTGGGTGTGTCTGTGTGTGTGTCTGTGTGTCTGTGTGTCTGGATGTGTACAGAGCTAGGGACTACACCTGTGGTCCGATTTCAATGAAATTTGGTATGTAGGTTCTAATCCGTGGTATCTCCAGGCGTTTTTTTCATTTTTTTGAAATTTTGATTTTTTATGAGGATTTTCTCATAAAACCCCATAAAAAACTACACCTAAAAAAATAGGATTTTCTCAAAAATGGCCCGAACGATTTTGATAAAAATTTAGTATGTTGTAGCCCTTTAAATTCTGAACAAAATAATACAAATCCCATTTCTGTAAAAATTATGGTTCAAAAGTTATGGTAAATTATGTTATTTTCCCATAAAACCCCCATAAAATAACAAAAAATAGGATTTTAGACAAAAATCCGGTTTTGATTTAACAGAGTATGTTATGATCCTTACAATTTTGATAGTTTTTGTCATTTTTTAGAAAATTTTATTTTTAATGGGGATTTTCCCATAAAACCCCATAAAAAACTGGAAAAATAGGATTTTCTCAAAAATGGCCCGAACGATTTTGATAAAAATTTAGTATGTTATAGTCCATTATATTCTAAACAAAATGATACAAATCCCATTTCTGTAAAAATCACGGTTCAAAAGTTATGGTAAATTATGTTATTTTCCCATAAAAATCCCCATAAAATAACGGAAAATCGGATTTTCCCAAAATTGGCTAGAACGATTTTGATAAAAATTTAGTATGTTATAGTCCTTTAAAGTCTGAAGAAAATTGTACAAAACCCATTTCCGTATATTTACTCTCACCGCTTACTCATGAGAAAGGTTGTTGACAATCTTATGGGAGAAAGTATGTGTCAGAATGCTGATACCGTTTATTAATAACCATACCGCGATGCATTAATAAATCAATGCAACAATTTGACCTGAAGATGTGTTAATATTAACATGAAACAGCTGTAGTCAACCATCTACAAACCAAGATCACTTGACGGATACAGGTAATTAATTTAAACCTTTTATTGTAAAACAAGTTTAAGATGTAAATAACTACGGGTATTGAAAAACCAACTTACCATAGCCCCAGATTACAGAGCACTGGATGTTCAGTGTTGGGCAAAATCCGTTGAAGCAGTACCCTGGATTGTTAGTATCCCCACAAGGCTGTCCATTTTTCTTGTGCACATCTTGTGGACAATTGCCTGTGTCTCCATTGCAGTGTTCAGGGAGATCACATTCATTTGTGGCTTCTCTACAAACGACTCCTCTCTGTCTCAGCTAGGAAAATAATTTTACTATAAGACGATGTGAACTATAACCAAAATGTAATACAGAATGATTTAATAATTTTAGGAATTTTACTGGAGTGTATTAAAAGGCTACTTACAGTACCCATACTTCAAGAAAATTTATTAATGCGTCGGATTAGTGAGCGAGGCTCTGTGAAGCTTAGATATGGTATGTACCGTCTATTGAATGTTTAAAGTAATTTTAGAAGTATAAGAAAGGACAGCTAAAACAGGCGAAAATGATTAATTCGTTCCATTAATATATAAGTTACCTTATCGAAAAAGTAATACAACAACGGTTTCCCAGTAACTCCCCTTTTTCAGCTGCCCAACTTAACAGATTTTTACAGTAATTGAGGTCGCATATTAAAGCTTGCTTAAACTGTGAATTGCACTCAAAAATACAATTAATTTAATTTAAGACCTTACCCTCCTCACGTTTAATTTTTTTTCTAGAGTCAATTTTGAATAAATCAGAATCAGTTATGCTGACCAACTTTCTTTATAGCTGTTTAAATGTGAATTGTAATTGACAGATCTCCCTTAAATTGAATGGTTTTAAACCACAATCAAATCGCAAACAAAATAATAAACAGTTTATGAAAATGTATCTATTTTAAAATTGTGAAAATAATACCTTGCAGTTGTTGCAACAGGGCCCCGAGGCACATTCCGCGTCTTTGGTAAGTTTGCAGGTGATGGGGTCACAGCAAGGGTCTTGCTCGTGACATTCCTCTATAGTCCCACAGTCACACTCTTCACCGTCTTCAACTATGCTGTTTCCACATGTCCTGTGCACCTCCAGCTGAAATAGACAGAGGATACTCACAAATGTTGGTTTGGATTGGTAGTTATAAAACACTTGGCTTTTCTTATTACATTGGGACCTCTACAACAGACAATATATGAATAGTTTGAATAGTAAATTAATGACTTCCTAATATGCGGTTGATATGGAAATTTCACGGTATATTTCATATGTGCAGAATCTATCTGGCTTCATACTTGCTTTTACCAGAACACATTTTTGACATGTCCTTACCCAACCTTTAATCAGATATATCCTATACTTTTATATGAACAATGTTTGCTTGTGTAGTATGCTTGCACAAAGATCTTGAAAACATCCTCGACGATTTTCTACGAATGCTGTAAATATTTTAGTCTGGCCTAAAAACTGTTTACTGCAGTTAGTTGAAACTGTAAAAAATCTAATGGCGTAAAAACATTAAATTGAAAAAAAAAACATTTGCCTTGGGGTTGCAGAGCAAACATGTTGGTTGAACAAAAATAACGAGGAAAAAGTAAACCAAAGACTTGTAACATGTGTTTATAACAAGCCATCCACAGCCTACTAGCAAATTACAAAGTACAGTATAAAGGAAAAACATAAGTTGTTAATACTGTATTGAGAAAAGATTACTCTGAAGATAAGTGAAAATAGTTCCGATCAAATACTGATTATTTTACTTGGCTCTCTCATAGTACCAATACTTAATCCCTGAAGTATTGAGAAAACCTTTAGCAAACTTTTTAAACAGTGAAATATTTATTTAATAATATTATTCATTTTATGTAAGTTATAATTTTAAACAACAATTTTCAGCTGTTTTAATTTAAACAAACGATCAAACAAGTACTGTATAGGCTATTAATCCTATTCTAATACGAACTATGTCTGTTTGTCTGTCTGTAATATACTGTATATCTTGAAATCCAGTGGAAGGCTTTTGACAAAACTTTTGAATTAGGGAATAATAGAACTAAAACGTGATTGGTGACAGCCACTACCCGAGTAAAATTCGTATTTTGATACACAAATCGTTTGAAAATTAAAAAAAATTAACATCGGCCATATGGGTTACCAAGTAACTATGTCGGTTGAACAAAATAAAAAGTAAAAAGTAAACGAAAGACTTGAAACATGTGTTTATAACAAGCCATACACAGTAGGCTATACTAGCAAATTATAAAATACAGTACACAGTGATAATCGTCAGTTGATGTAACTATTGATCAAAGATTACATTGTAGATTACTCGATATAGGGGAAAATAGAGCAAGTCAGTGTTGATAAGTGACAAGTGTTTCGTGTTGGTGCCGTTTATGTGCACTGGCATCAAATCAATATTTCACTCTTATTTAAGGGTAGATTTTAAAATTTTTATCCACTCGTTCTTATATTTTAAATAATTTTGGACAGCTGTATTCATAATAAATTAAAATACCACTGGAACTTAGATTGTAAAAAACGTGAGTTTCCTTTATGTTGCTTTTACAACCGAAATAAACTATACCGAGCCATGGCTCTGTCCCTGGGTACAGTACTCTTATTGGCTCAGCAAATTTGAGAAGTATCGATATTATTTGTTTTAAATATAGATAGGGTGTAGCAAAAAATATTTTCTATGTCTGAGGTTGGTGGGGGCAGGCTCGATGGAAAGCTTACACACACTGCCATTATCCGTAGGTTGCCTGAGCCATGGTCTGGCTCTTACTTCCACCATGGCCTGAGCCACGTACGTTTGTTATCAAGTCGTTCTTAAAAAGTAATGATTGAGTCATTGCAACTCAGCGGCAGTTCCGTGCACTCTTTCAATTAGTTCGCCATGGAGAAGTCCAGTTTCGATTACCTGTATGGACGATAAAAAAAATAATCAGTATAAAACAAATTTATCTGTAGGGGAGAAAACTATTAAGATCGAAACTCAAAATTCGTATATCCAAGCGGTCAGACATGTTCAACTCCTTTTATCTATGGTTCAACGCAGCCGTTTGTTTTCGCGCGTTGACGAACGAGGACTGTTTTCCACAGCAGCACGAACTCTATCGAATGTTAGTTGTCTGGCGCCCGATCTGACTTTGGACGGCCAGTTAGATTCTTTTTCATTTTCAACGCAGACGCCTTTCTAAAGTTACTAGTAACCCAACCAGCATGTTTGTGCTACGCGACTTAACCTCTCCATGTCGACCGTAAGTGGAAGAATGCACGGAACTGCCGTTGTGTTGTAATGACTAAATCATTACTTTTAAAAATACGACTCAATAAAAACCACTGTGCCATTTATACAGAATAGCAGTGTGTAGGCTTTCCAAGGAACCTACCCTGGGTTTGTTGCAGCACCCTGTATTTCAATTTTTATTTATTTCTGTACAAATGTATTTGCAATTTAAACTACTGTATTTGTATCTTACAAAAAAGTTTTACTAAAAAAAATCATCACTGGTAAGTGGTTTATAGATTCAAAAAAGCTACAGCGAGGTCAACTAAAATTTAAGCTTAGGAAAGCTTTTAATACTTAGGTGCTTTTAATTATAAGTCAAAAGTTCTTAGAAAACTGGTGATTATTCTTGGGCTTTATGAATAAAGATGAATTTTACTTGACCTGGATTGGTTCCGCTGCATCACAAGTGAGTATTGAAGTTGATCTTGGACTGAATGTTTTGTTCCTATCAAATTTTCAGCAAAAATATTAAATAAAAAAATACAGGTATAGAGATATTTTTTTAAAATTTCATTTCAGACATAACTGTGCTCCTTTTTTATTTACCTCTGATTTATTGTACAGGTCTATTCAAACATATGGAGCCAGTTTCGGGTATTTGTATCTAGAAAAGTATAAATCGGAAACAAATATGTGTTACGCCATTAGAAAGAGAACATTTTCAAGTTTTATTTACACTCATTACAAATGCTCGATTTGTTCCTCCTGTGCTGCACGGCAAACATCTGCGCAATAGCCGAAATATTCCCACACACGAGACAGCATTTCTTGTGTCACCAATTTCTTAAGCCAACGAGTTATGATTTTTTTCTAGTTGGTGGTTCAATACCGAATTAGATGAGAAAACCACGCTGCACTGTAATAGGAGACTCGTTTTTTGCTATATCCCAAGGAAAAGCTTATGTTGCATGGTAGCTATCTTACTGACAACTTATGGTAAAACAAAACGGCCATTGTTGCGATAACATTTTCGGCCGTTTCCGGAACTATGGCCAAAGAAATTTCCTCTCTTTAATCGTGTAAAGTTTATGTCTGGCCGACTCCGATTTATACTTTTTGAGATACAAAGTCATGAGGTTGGGTCCATAAAAATACATACAGCTGATTCAAATCATTAAATTAAACCATAACAAAACACTAGTGCGCGTAGTGAATAAATGGAGAACTAATTGAGAGCGAGGAAAAGTAAATTTAGAGCGAGGGAAAATCAGCTGATCGATTTTCCCTCGCCCTAAATTAGAGCTTGGGAAACGACTACTTTCATTGATGTCAGCTGTTATTGAAAATAGTTACTTTCGTTACGGAGTGATGAAAAAACAATATAATATGAACCCTTGATGACTCCGCTCAATTTTGTGGATGCGTCTGCGAACGCCACCTAGTTTAATTTAATAGTACAGTACGGTACTGTTGCTCAAACAACTACAAATATAAAACATATAAATCAATACAGTATGTCTATAACTTTATGAAATTGTAAAAGAAACATTTCGTACCGTATCCATAATGTCGTTTATTCAAGAGGGCTGTGCTAAGAAGGTATAAAGAAACCGTAACAAAATATATGTATACAGTAATCCTGTATTATCAGAACGGGTTGCTATATACCGTAGGTAAGTTATTATGTCCAAACTTAGTAGGCCAGCTGAGTTTATTTTGTGTGTTGAGTTAAGAAATATAAACCAGAAAAAAACTGTCTAAATTCCTACCAAGTTAAACATTGAATCAACTTATGTCTAAAAAAGCCAAATATTCTGGTGGTAGAATAGTCAGCGGATACCAACTACTCGACCATCACAAACTCTTACTTACAGATTTTTCAAAAAATTAAAGGACTAAATCGAATTTAATACTTCCTTTGTTTCTCCATCAACAGTAGCAAGTAACATTATCTAACTAGCTACATCTGTAAGATAACTGGTGTTTGAGTGTGGCATTTTATGAGAGGTTGAGAGACGATCATTATAAAGAGCTAGAACTGGGGCGAATCTTACACTAGACAGAAGTACTCCACCTCAGTTGTTCCTAGCAGCCTTTATCACAATATTAAAGTCCCTGTTTACATGTTAATTTAGAGAACAACTTGTCGCTAGTTTCTCGCTGCAGTTTCCGTAGAACTATAATGTCTCAAGTTTGTACTTTAAGACAAGTAATTTTCCATTGGTGTCTTGGAATATTTACCACTTATTCTGCAACTGATCATTTTGTGGCTTGAATAATCGTTGACATGAAAGCGGGCTCATAAGGTGTTCATAAGGACTCTAGAATGGGGGATTTTAATAGACGATATGACATGATCCCGGTTTAAAAAGATGTTCATAGCAAGTAAAAAAGCTACATGAGGCACCTCCACTTCATTTTAAATTTGAGCTTAGCTCATATATTCTAGTTGAATTGCACCTACTAGTGGCCCCGGTTTGTAACGGTATAAGTAATTATTGTTAACCCCCCAAAATAAATCTTCACTAAAATTAATTTGATTTAGAAAATTATAGTGTAGTATTGAATTTTTTAGAAACCAAGAATAGAACCAAGATGTTTTTTTTTTATTTCGACAATTGGGTAAACCACTGTGGATATCTAGAGATAGTTAGTATCCACGGATATTAGAGACATGGGTCCATAAAGTTGCATAAAGTTGCATCCTAAATGTCCATAAAGTTTGCATGATGAAAATCAACCAATCACAGCGCTGTATTTACGTTGTAATCCCAAAGTAATGGAGCTACTGGGACGTCCTGCAGTACTTACAATTATTGTCACTACTGTTTGGAGTGCTAATGAAATACAGTATCGTTAA